TACACACCAAGCAATCCGACGGCACTGGGTGATTGGATCGCAATGATCGAACCAATGTTGTCTTCGCTGACAGATACAGGAAGAGTGTGGTGGCAATGCGTCTACTCAAAGGCGTATCAGGCGTATGCCAAATGGTTGAGTGTTTCTCCGCTGGAAAGGTTGGGCATCAAGGCTGAGCTGGAAGGGCTCAAGGTGGTTCAAACTGTGCATGTTTTGTTGGAGCAGAGAGCGGTGTCTTTACTGCTACAGGCGATTCCGGAGAGATTGAAGACCGAGATCGTTTCCACTCGAATGTTGGGGTCAGTGATGATATTTTACAAATTGCTGACGGTCTACCAACCAGGTGGAGCAAATGAGCGCAGCACAATGTTGAACTTCTTGGTGCAACCATCTCCAGCAACCTCGATCTCAGAGGCCATCAAGGGAGTGCGTCAATGGGCGCAATGGCGTTCCCGATTAAGGGAGTTGAGAGCGGCCGAGCCGGACGCTACCTTGCTTATCAAGGGATTGGATGGTTTATCATCCGCGTTGCTGGCGAAACACCCTACGGTTCATTTCAGAGTGGCATCCTTTCGGGAGAAATTGGGGGTGGACTACTCGCCGACCTCTGAAACTGCGACAAAACTATCTGAAATGTTACAGGCAGAGTTTGAACTGCTACTGCATAGTGCTGGTGAACAAGAGGTGAAGCAGGACTCGGACGCCAAGAAAAGGGCCAGGTTAAGGCCCAAAAGGGAACTGGTGACGAGACGGAGGAGGGTGACAAAGGCAAAGGGAAAGGAAAAAGGTACAGCGGAGATGGTGAACGTCCTTTCTGTTGGATGTATGGGAAGACCGATGCAGGTTGCAAGTTCGGATCCCGCTGCAAATTCCGCCATGACAAAGACTCCCTTGAGCGAGGAAGATGTTTTGAGTGTGGGGCCGTTGGCCATCTGCAGCCACAATGTCCATATAAGGATGGTGCAAGTTCCAATGTGGACTCAAATCCTGAGAGGAGTAGATCTAAAGGGAATTCTCCCAAAGGGGGAAAGGGCGGCAAAGGTGCGAAATGGGGAAATGCCAAAAAGGCAGAGGTAGCTGAAGGGGGAGATGAGACGGCTAATGCGGGATTGGATAAAGGTTCTGCAAGTCCCTCATCGCCATCAACGGCCAATCAGGTCCTTGTTGAAGCGTTAGAAGTGCTGAAATCTATGAAGCTGTCATCAGAACAGTCAGCATCAAGCGGGGATCCCAGTGTTCGAATGTTATGTGGCTCTGGGCTGCTTCAGCAGGAAGGGAGAGTGGCGTTGGTGGATACAGCTGCTACGCATCTTGTGCGGACGCTTTTTCCATGGGAATGTTTACCCGACACTACTGTTATGGTGCAAAGCGCGCTTGGTGGTGTGACAATGAGGATTACAGAGAAAGGGACGTTGATTAGGGAAGACAATGGGCCCCTGATTATCCCTCTCTGGTTGTTTTTGGAGTTTGGGGCGAACCTCACTGTGATCAATGGGATGTGTCACGTGGGTGCAAAATCTTCGCTGGACCAGCTCTTGTGGTTTGAACATGGCTGTTTGGTTATGGATTACAAAACAGCTGAAAAAATGGTTTTGCATGCTGAAAGGCAGCGTGTATCTTGGTCCCATTCTCAATGGAGGAATGGAAGGGCGGACTGTGGAGTCGGTTCGTCGGATGCCACGTTGTTGCCGAAGCAGGGAGAAGGCCGAGGAGTATGCGTTCTACATGTGGCCAGGGTTTCTGACACCAATGAGTGTTCGGGAATGGGCATGTTGGACTCGGGAGCATCACATCCTCTCAGATCACTTCGTCCTGGAGAACAGCTTCCGCAGCAAAAGGTGTTGGTGTCTTTAGCTGTTGGATCTCGGGAGATGTGTATTACCCCAGGTGGGACCCTGGTAACTCCTGAAATGGTAGATCCACTAGTGCCAATTGGCAAAGCGAGCGCCTTGGTTGGTCTCAGAGTTCAGTGGCGTGGTGGCAAGTGCACAGCCTCACATCCTGTTCTGGGGGAACTTCGCGTTCGTGATCTGAATGGGTGCCCTTGTTTAGAAAAGGAGGTGGCGCTTCAGATCATTGATGAAATGGATTGGTGTTCACCAAAGCAAGCTTTGAAGGTGGCACGTATGGTTCAAGGGTGTCCGAATACGGACGACGAGGTGGCTGTAAAAACGCCGTTGCAAAGCGCAGCGCGGACAGCATCAGCGAATGAGGAGGAGTTCGTCCAGGCTTGTTGGCGATTTCTTCGGTGGTATTATGGGGATATACCAGAAAATATGCTGATGGAGCTGTTGCCACGTGGAGATATTGCGGCGTTGCCTTTCAACCGTCATAAAAGGAGACGGCTGGCACGAGCAAAAAGGGTGGTGGTACACCTATTTTCGGGGAAACAAAAATGGCATTTTCCCAGTCGGGATGTGGAGGTACTGGAGCTGGATTTGACAAAAGGCGGTGACCTACATAATTCGAGCGTCTGGAAGTATCTTCTGCATCTGGCGGCTGAAGGAAAGGTGGTTGCTGTGGTTGGAGGACCTCCATGCAGGACAGTGTCAAGGTTGAGAGGTGAAGACGGTGGTCCACCTGTATTACGCCGACGCTGTGGGCCTGAACGGTTGGGGTTAAAAAGTCTTCCTTGGCCACATCAAGAATTAGCTCAAAAGGATGGTGTTTTACTTCTGAAGATGCTTTTCCTATATGACGTGGCGGTGCATTCAAGGTGTGGAACTGCTGAAGTCATCAATGGAAGTTCTGTCTTCTTTGGCATGGAAAGCCCTGGGGACCCTGAACTCATAGGGAAAGATTTCTCTCAGAACGGCAAAACGGTCTTGAGTGCTGAGGATCTGGTGGATGGTTCTCAGGAAGGGCTCTCAAGTCCTACCTTCTGGAGTTGGCCAGAGGTGAAAAGCTTTTGTGAGCGTTATGGAATGTACGCTGCACATTTTGATCAAGGAGCGTTGGGACATGCTCTGGTGAAACCTACGACTTTCCTGGTGTCTGATATGGAACTATGGGAATCGTTGGAACAAGTTCGCGTGGTTGTTCCGTGGTCAGCAACATTCGCTTCTACCCTGGAAGAGCGTATTGGACAATCCTCCGTATGGGCGCGATGGGCGTTTGGATTGGTTAAAAGCATACGTCACAGGTTGGCACAATGGTTGCATGAAAGCGATGCTGAACGGGAAGCTATGGTGTTAAAAAAAGAAGAACGAGAAGGGACGTTACGGAGGTTGACAGCTGAGGAGCGAGCTTTCCGTGACCATTGCCTAAGGGGGCATATTCCTTTCAGACGTGATTGTCAAATCTGTGTGTCTGCCGCTGGAAAAGAGCGTCGCCATTTGAGGCGGAAGCATGGGGATGCTTACACTTTATCATTGGACTTAGCGGGTCCATACAAGTGTTCAAAGGATGCTCACCAGCAGAAGCCACGACACGCTGTTATTGGTGTGTATCAGTTTCCAATGTTGGATCCCAATGTGGGTCGCCCTCCAGAAAAGGAGGAAGATGCGGATGAGGTGGAAGATCAGGTGGCAGATGAAGGTGCTGGTGTCGGAGAATGGTTAGGCGATGCAGTCGCTAACTTCGAGGAGGAAGACTCTGCGCCGGTGGAACCTGCGCCAGTTCTGGAGGCAGAGGTGTTGAAAATCCAAGCTTCTGAAAAATCCTGGAAGGAACTGAAGGACCACTTGACCCAACCTGTCCGTATGATCAACTTCGTTATGGTGGAGCCGATTGTGGATAAACAGCAAACAACTGTTTTGTCGGCAGTTCAAAGAATGATGGTGCGCTTGCAGAGACATGGGTATCCGGTGTTGAGAATCCACTCAGATCGAGCGGGGGAGTTTGTCAATGCACGCTTCCGGTCCTTTTGTGAAACTCGTCTGATATATAGGACCACTGGTGATCCTGGAGTCCCGCAAACAAATGGGCGCGCTGAAGCATGTGTGGGTTTATTCAAACGTGGTGTGAGGTCGCTCTTAAAGGAGGCGCGACTCGGGCCGGCGTACTGGGCACTGGCTGCTCGCCATTGGTCAATGTTACGGTGGCAGAAAGCTGAAAGGGAGTTGGGGTTAAATCCTAAATCATTGCTTCCCTTTGGTGCTCAGATTCAAGTCAAACGTCGTCCGTAAGAGTTGCTGGGTCCGGATGGAACAAAGAAAGGTCGGCAATGGGTCGATCGTACGCAGCCCGCGCTTCTTTTGGGTCCATGCGATGACCTACCTGGTTCGCTGCAAGTTCAAGCCACACTACCAAAGCTAACTAAAGCCTACTAGAAATCCTATGCCAAAGCGAGCACTGTACCACGAGCCCTCTCTCTTTTTGACTTTGCCGGAAATGCCGCTCAGAGTTCAAAGCTCAAAGCAAAGCAGATGATGCGTACTAAAGCTGAAGCGCAAATGACCGCTGAAAGTTCAAAGCGTAAAGCAGAGAAGATGAAGCGTACTAAGGCTGAAGCCAAAAAGCATACCAAAACGAGGAAAGGCAAATCACTGCGCATCTTGTCGCATCTTGTGAAACTGCGTGAAACGGCGTAGCTCCAGATGTACTGTCCCGACTCAGAAAGAACGTGCTTTCTAAGAGGGAGTGGTGGGTGGGTCAAAAAGTCAAGCTAGCTAGCGATGCACTGAAAGCTGCACGATTTGGTGTGTGGCTTGAACCAAAAGCAACAAAGTACGGTGATCTTTCACAAACAGCAAACAGCTATGAGTAAACACATGACCCGTTCGCTGCAAGTTCAAGCCACACTACCAAAGCTAACTAAAGCCTACTAGAAATCCTATGCCAAAGCGAGCACTGTACCACGAGCCCTCTCTCTTTTTGACTTTGCCGGAAATGCCGCTCAGAGTTCAAAGCTCAAAGCAAAGCAGATGATGCGTACTAAAGCTGAAGCGCAAATGACCAACTTTTAAACTGGCAAAGTCAAAGCTCGCAGGGCCTACCAACCCCATTTCTAAGTGAGCGCAGACTATGCCAGGCTCTCACCTCGGCGCTCAGGAGAGTGATTATGGCGGCTGCCATTTGAGCTTCGCATCGTGAGGCCAAAGGCGCACATCGGAACGAAAGTGCCAGATGCGAGCCAGGCTGCAGTCCACACGAAAGTCCGGAAGGAACTTGGCTGGCAAGGGCTGGGATTCGTCACTCCAGCGGGAGAGCAGATCTGCATCGTCATTCTTTTCGCCGGGTATGTGGAAAACGTCGAGCTCAATGCCAGTCATGCACGCCAACATTGACAGGCGTTTCAGAAACACTGACAAAGGAAAGGCCGAGCTGTAGAGCTTATTGATGCCTGCCTCTGCACCTGTGTTGTCGGACAACGTGCGAAGACGGACGGTCCAGCGTGCCAAAGGCACCACGGAACGTAGACAAAGAATGAGGCCAAGCTGTGCCAATGTCTCGTAACATGTGATGTCTTGGCGAGCTGGCACCTGCAAAGGCACACCCAATGACGAAAGGTCCGGCACACGCCATGACTGGCTGAACCACGAAATCTGGCGTGAAGGCCATTCGATAAAGCCCCCTATCCCGACGAGATCCCCATCTGCGCGTGCGTCGGCAGCGGCGCAGACGATGGGAACGTCCGCAGGTTTCTGCAAGGGGAAGAAAAGGGGTGGAACCTCGCACCACTTAAGCCAAAATTGAAGACTATCACGGCTGGAAACAGAAAGCTTGCGGCGAGTAGTGGAGGGGTCCGTCACTCTCATCCAAATGCGTTTCGAGGTGGGAATTTTTGCAAGGTCTTTCTTGGACTGCAGGGCCAAATGCCTGGCTTCAATGAGCTTGGCGCCTGTCGGAATGCTTGTGCCCGGCGGCGTGGAGGTGAAGACAAGCCCCTCGTTAACGCAAATGGCCAAGCCGGGCCAATCGCCAGGGTCAATGCTGTAGTTGGTGGCCAATGGACGGTTCGCATCAGCATACAGGGTTTGCAACCAGGGCTTAAAATGCTTGTACAGCTTGCAAAACCACTGCAGCAACCCGGTGACCTTGTCCAGGGTCCGTTTCGAGACATGGCGACCCTGTAAGGCTTCCTGCAAGAGGCGCTTCAACTTCTGGACTTTTTCAACCGGAATAGAGAAAGTGCCAGAGCCAAAGGAAAAATGCCAGCCTATCCAGTGGATACAGCTGCCAAGCTGTAACTTGGCGTTGGACAGCGGTATGTTGAACAGAGCACAAAAAGCCAGTGTCATGCATGCTGTAAGGCCAATGACCTCCTGGTCCTGAAACAACATAAAGTCGTCCACGTAGCCCAGTAGGGCGTGTCGAAGCCAGGTCCAAAGGTGTAACGTGCGAAGGAAAAAGCTTCCCAAGCGCTGGAACCAGAGGGCCGAGAAGTTCGCTCCAAAGGGACAAACGCGGTAAAAAAGCCAACGACGGCCAGGACCTTGAATCTTCGGGAGGGAGACCCCAAGAAGTCCCTGATCAGAGTCGCGAACTCGAACCGTTTTGTGAGCGGACTTGATGTCAAACGCAAACCCTGCGCACAGGCCAGAGTGACACCGCAAAGGGAAAGAATCCCTGACATCGTCAATACCCGGGAGTGTGTACGTCTCGGGGATCGAGCAAGACGGGTTAGTGCCACACACAGTGGAGTCGACCACCAGGCGCGGCTTTTTGCCTTCAGCTTTGACGATAGACATCTTTCCAATGGCCAGCTTGTCGCCAAAACGCTCTTGAGCCGCTTCTAAAGAATCCAGCTCCAAGAACCAGCCATTGGCGATCTCTTCTTCCACTAAGGCATGCAGGGTCGGAAGGTCCGCTTCAGCGCTCGACCAATTGCCGTGACAAATGCCAAGTGATTGCTCAAAGGGGTGGCCCCCTCCTTGTGGCAGGAAAACATTGGACAACGGAATGTCCCCGTCAAAGCCAGTGGGCACTCCCTGTTCCAGACAGGTGAACAGGGACACGTCTCGATCACGACAAATGCGTGAGACAGCTGCCAGTGCCTGGAGGCAGTATGGTTGCCCTGCAGATATTTCGCAGGAAACGGCAATGCCAGGGAAATGTGCGGAGAGCCAGTCCTGGAAAAGGCGACGCAGGGCGTCTATCTCCGAGCTTGAGAAAAGAGCCTCCGCGGATCCCCCCAAAACCAAAGTACGCAAACGCTGAGGAAAACGACCCTGAAGAAGAAAGGTCATCAGCTTGGGCCTAAGGTGTGCAAAGACATCTGTAGCTCCTGAAGGTGGTGCACTCCAGTCTGGCGTGGAAAGGATGCCGGCCCCGTCCTGCGAAGCCACCGGAGCCTCATGAAGGGCCTTGAGTTTGGCAAGCAGAGGTACCGTGGCGAGAGAAAGGGCACAAGCTACCCCTTGCTCCACGTCGAAGAGGGGCAGGGCTTGCTCAGCATACATGTCCGCTAGACGGGGGGGGTACTCTGCAGCTGCCCGACTGCGAAAATTGCCGGCCTCATCACACAAACCCTGCAAAGCCACGTGGGTCCCCTCGGTGTGTGGACATGTAGAGGCGAAAGCCTGAAAGGCCCTGAATGAAGTGGCAAAAAGCCAAGCTTTGTGCATGTCGAGATTGACGGAACAAGCGGCCACGTCGACCAGATCCGCGCTGATGGATGCCAAGAAATTGGTTGCAATCGGCTCCATCCAAGCCATGCTGTTCGGGGGCTGTTCGAGCGAGACCTGTGCGCCGCAGGAAAAGCTGACATGCAAAAGCTGAACGCAACGCACAAAGATCAGGTGACTCTCCTGGACTCTAAGAGCCTGTGATGCCGACAGGTCGGGGAGGCCATTCAGGAACGCAGGAGTCCGAAGTGCTTTCGGGCCTCTAGGACGGAGTTTCAGGCGAGAGTATTCCCTGCATGGAGGAGCAGCGTGCGCAAGGGCCACCTGGCGGGACGTGCAAATGCGCAGCAAATGTTCAAAGAAATCGTCCTGGAGAAGATCCATGTTTGTGTCGAGGAGAATGTCTATTGACAGACAAGGCACCCCCTTCCTCAAGAAAGCTGAACTGAGCGGCGAGCCCGCTCCCGCGCAAATGTCCAGGAAGAAAGGCTGCTTGAAATCCCGAACGGACTGTAGGACAGAAGTGACATGCGAGGAGGCAGGCGGAAACAGCCCTGGCATGGACTCTGCGAATACCGGTGCGGGAGTTGGCGCTGGGCCAAAGCTGTCCGGGTCCGATATGTCATCCTCGGGATTTGTGTGCTGGGGTGGCAGGCTCCTTGGGGATAATGTGTCGGAAGCAGACACATCCAGAGCCACCTCGTGAGGAAGATCGGGCGTTGGAGATTCAGGTGCCTGCTTTGCCGGAGCAGCGATTGCCGGAGTGGAGGAGCTCTGGGAAGACAAAGGCAAAAAGGCAGGCGTGAACAGAGGCAGACCGGACCCAGTTGCCTGCTCAAAAGATGGGTCCGGTCCCCTTCAATGCGGGGTGTCGGTATGCTGCCAGGCCGGGTGGTTGCCAAGACAGATCTTGCCACTGGGAAGCTTCACGGGACAAAGGTGTTCAAAGCGGCAAGACGGATTTTTACATACTGTGCGCTGGCTCCAGCGCATGCAAAGGGTCTTGACTTCTCCGTTGATTTTTGCGGAGGATGCCCACTCCTGTCGGTTTGCGGAGGTCCCTGCGGAGTTGCCTTGGTTGCCCAGACCGGATCCCCCACGACCGGTGCCAAGGCCACTCCCGCGACCTCTTCCATCCCCCCTGCCTTTGCCGCGTCCGCGTCCGTTGCCAAAACCAGCACCGGGGCCATTGCCCTTTCCTCCACCTGCTCCCTTGCCCTCCGGGCGGCGCAAGCCCTTGGGCAGAAAAACGCGCGGTGCCAAAAGAGAAGCCAGCTCGCTACGGACGGCTGTGTTCTCATGGATACAGTCATCCAAAGACCAACCCTGCAAACGGAGTTCGGACACGGCCTCCCAAAAACGGCGGTCTGCCTGCTCACATTCTAGTGCGTTGGGTGGGCGAAGGCCACTGCTACTGTCAAAGCGAGCCGAAGCAAAACGCAGGAAGGTAGACTCGTACTTCTTAAGCGTCACCAAGTGTACATCAGTGACCATGGCCATGGCCACACTGTGCAAACGCAAAATTTTGCTCAATGCAAACATGCCCAGTGTGTCCGGGAGGTTCCGAGAGGGGACATCATCCAAAATGAGATCTGCCAGTTCGGTCCTGGCCAGTTTGCGAGGGCGCTGCAGCTGCTGTTCTTCAAGCTCAAGCACGGACATGCGCCAACGCCAAGGAATGAAGCGCCACTCGTGGGACGAGGCTTGTTTGAAAGCCAAAGCAAGGAGACGAGCCGAGGGCATAGTGGAATCGTCCAAAACCTCGCTAGGATATTTCCGCAGGAAAGCGGCCCGAAGCTCTGCCGTTTTGTCCGAGGAGAGCTTAGCTGGGAAAGGCTCGTTCCATGACGCAGCACCTGACACGGGGTGACTAGGGTCTGAGGCCGTGCTGAAGGAATGATCCTGCGGAAAAGGCGGAGAGGAGGGGTGCGGTGGGAAAGGCAGGACTGCCATGTGTCCCTCAGAGCAGGCCAAGGCGTGTGCTCTGTGCCAAAGACACCGAAGGTCCGCAACTGTCTCGGAGCCAAAGTCCAGAAGACCGTGCGACTCCAACCACTGATCCAACTGGTCAAAGGAGGTAGCCAAGAACCCAAAGTTACGAATGGTGCGGTTCAACTCCGAATGAGACGCAACAGCTTCAGGGAAATCGAGGTTTAGAGATTCCCAAAGCACTGACAGCTTGTCCGAGGGGGTCGGCTGCGCGAGTAGGCCTTTCCCATTGTCGCTCCCCGGGTCGGCCATGGAACCTGTGCGAGCCCGAGTGCAGCACTGGCAAACAAGCACAGTACGGGTGTACACAGGCCATGCATGCTCATGTTACAAAAGGAAAGGAAAGAAAAGAGCAGCACTTGACGCACGCACAATCCCTAAAGCCAGGTCACCAGGACAAGAAAGAAAGGACAAAGGAATCACTCCGAGAAGTGCGCCTGGAAAAAGTGTGAAGAGCGTCCACAGCCAGACCTGGGCACGGGAGCATGCATGAAAAGAAGCGCTGTATGCAGAAAGCAAAGGAAGCTCAGAAGAAGTACTGAAGCTCTGATTTTCGCTGGCAAGCTCCGATGCCAATCGCCCCCAAGAAGCTTTAAGCTCATGAGGGAAAAAGCGGCGAGACAAAGCCAAAAGCCCTCTATGTACTACCCCTGCCAAAACAGATAAAGCTGAAGTGGAGGAGGGGCAACTAAAGCCAAATGCTGGTCCAAGCACTCTCTCAGGCTTGCCCCTGTGCCCTCCTAAAAGCTTTGTAGCAAATGCCACAGCGGTGCCGATGGGGGAGATCTTCGCGCGTAAGAACGACCCCGCAGTGGCCAGCCCCGCAGTCTTGACATGTGGAGCGGCAGTAAATCTGAGTGACGGTCACTGTCTCGTTGATTTGGCTAAGCGGGAATGCATCCGTCCCCATGCCAGTGGCCAAAGGCGGCGTAGTGTCCAAAGGCGGCGCCGGTGGCGGTTGGGGTCGGTCAGCTTGCGACACCCAAAGCCAAAGCCATTGGCCAATGTTCCAGCCGTGGTTCGCCTCCTTGGCACGCTGAAGCAAGGTCTCAAAAGCCGAGTCCTGCTCCATCCAATAGCGAAGCCAATCGTCCTCCTCCCAGCCACCGGCACCGTTAAAGGAAGACGCCTCTTCCAACCACGAGTGCGCTCGGACGAGATCTGCAGGAGCAAGTCCAAGGGAACGATGGCCATTGGGAAAATGTGGCCACTTGCTGTCCGAAGCAGCATGCGCAGATGCAGCTTGGGATGCCACGGCACCCGGGTTCTGGGTGGCTTTTTCCATCTCTTCGACCCAATGAAAAGCCCAATCTCCAGCGCCAAAGCCGAAGACCGTGTCCATGCCTCCGTCAGAGGCAAAAATGCTGGCACAGACGAAAGCCAGTGCCACAGCCATTCTGATGGCGAAAAGCCACTAGAAGCCGGCATGTGACGAGCATCTTCCAGCCAAGACACTGCCTTGTTCACATCAGCTTCTGCAAGGCCAAGGAAAATGTCAGTGTTTGCCATTGCCAGCAAAAAGCGGGGGTGGGCAGAGCCACCAAGCAAAAGACACTCTCAGTGTCAAAGTATGGGCAGGCTAAAGCAAAGCCAAAAGCTCCGAAGGTGAAGAGGAGAAACGTTTATGCACACGCTCAGAGTGCAAAAGCAAAGCACTGAAACTGCTGTGCAGCTACTATACATGACGCTCACAGCGGTTCTGACACTCTGAGTGCGAGGCCAGGGGAAAAAGCTCTGCAATCCCGATCTACCCCCGAGGAGGTAAGAGCCAAAAGCTGGGACGAAGCGATGAAGTACTGAAGCTCTGAGGCAAGCTCTGACTGAAAAAGCAAAACATCTAAAGCATGAAAAGCAGAGTGATGCAGAAGCTCTCCGAAATCGAGATTCCTTTTGTTGCCTACCGCCAAGAGATGGTCCGCAATCAAAGGCAGATGCCACTGCCAAAACAGGAGGGCCGTTTGCAAAGTGCACGGCGTGTCCCAGAAGCGTCCTGCTCCTGAAGCTCCAAGAGTATTGTCCACTCAGTGCGGACGACGGCCCCACAAGCTGTCTTACACGCTCTTCCTTGCCAGCCCACTTGTGACAAAGCAGCATCGCAGCTGACCGCCTTATGTACGGTTTTAGCCGAGGCCATGAAAAGGCTAGGACCTAGAGCTGGTGAAGTCTCCAAAGACACAGATGCGGCTTGAGAAGCACCAAACGCTGCAATTGGCTGGCTAGGTACAAGAGGAAGGGCTGCCACTGGCAAAGGATCTGCACCGTCGTGTTCAGAAGCCAATCCCTGGAAACGCGAAGGGACATCAAACCCCGAAGTTGCAAGACCTTCCCTAACCAAAAGCTGTGGTTCTGATATCGGCGACTGAGCTCCACGATGTTGGGAAATACTGGGACGAAAGACGCCGGTGCGAATCTTGCCAAGGATCGAGGCCTGAAGTGCCAGGGCAGCACGCGTGTCATCCCTCCCGTAAAGAGTGACCGAAGTGGTGCGATGATGTCCCTGTTCTCGGCGTGCCATGTCGCCAAGGCCAAGTTGCGAACACCAAGACAGGACCGTTGCCTTGCATGAATGCTGAACGCAAAGTAAAGTTACGGGATGCGTCATAACCTAGTCGGCCCCACATATTCAAGGCTGAACGCAGGCTACGCAAAGCGGATGCATACGATGCTGGGCAAAATGCAAGTCGCAGGCATCATCCAAGAGCGACGAGCAGAAGAAGAGGGAGTCAGGCACCACATTGGGGGAGAGTTGTTCCAAGGACCCCCACATCGCATCCAAAAGCTGGAGCCAGCGGATGCCCCAAGGGCCGTAAATGCCCTCAGCATAGAAAGCAAAAGCCATGCCTCGCCGAGAGGTTTTCGTCCGGTATGCAAGGCCACGTATGACTAAGGCTTGGGGGTCAAACAACAAAGCTGACCACGATACATGCGATGTGTCCCCAAAGCGCAGCGAAGCCCATATACAAGCCAATGCGGAGCCGGCGAAAAGAGCAAGCTCAGGAGCAGAGGACAAGTCGAGCACAAGCGATTCAAGAAAAGCGACAAAATCCAGAGGAAGCGGCATGGCTTCAGAACGATCTGAGGATGGCTGGGCAGACAAAGCTCTGAACAAGCCTGAGTAAAGGTCTGGGAAAAGAAGGGCCACGGTTTTTACCAACCAACGCAGCGCTTTCAAAGTATTAAGTGGAAAAACCAAAGCAATCTGCTCCCGATCTAGAGAAAGGTCATCGTCCTGGGAACGACTGCAATGGAGAGCGTAAACTGCTTCAACTGCTGCGAGTTGGGAGAGGTTGTCCAAGGAATGACCGAGGTCAACGAGAAATTCAAAGTACGCCAAACATGCTTTGACATAACGTAAGGCAGTGGTGTCTGCGTTGAGCTGCAAGAGCTTCAATGTCAAAGCAGGACCGTTGGGTGATCCCTCGAGCTGCTGCAGCACAGAACTGTATGGGCCAATGATATCCACCAGTGAACGCCAAAGCAGCAAAATGGAATCCCAGGCCTCGGAGTGCAAGGTGCTCTGAAGAACAACACCCCCCAAATTGGAGGCAGAAGCAGCGGAGTCAGGGCAAAGATTTGGAGTGTGGTCATGAGGCTTTAACGCTGCGGGTCCCTTAGGAGAAGGGAGGACAAAGGAAGAGAGCCGGGAAAGATCGGTTTCTGAGACAGACCTCTCCCCTTCCTGAAAAGCAGCCTGAGTGCCTCGAGTTGCTGATGGATAGATGGAGTATGCGCGTGCAGGCTGATAGCTGGGTGGAGGCAAAGGAGCTACCAACGGCAGGCGTGCCCGATGTATATTAAACCTAGTTGGGGCTGGCAAAGGGGTTACGCTAGGAACCGAGGCAACCGAAGGCCTAGTTCTAGGGCAAACCGTCCGGTAAGGTGCCGGCAAAGGTTGGGACTTGGATTGGGGCGATCCAGGGTCGCACAAGGCTGCACTGTGGCAACAACTGACCAAGAGCCGGAAGCAGATGAGGACTTGGGTGTTGCAGACACATCAAGAGACTGCGAGTATAAAGGTAAGCGAGGTGAAGGGGATCGTTCACCTAGCGGCCTCTCTTCAACTGCGTGGTCAAGAGTTGAAGTGGCATCAATCAGATCACCGACTGAGGCTCGCCCTGGGCCCAGAGGATTATTCCTGTAACGCTTGACCCTGACTGGTGAAAAGGTAAAAGTGTCTTGGCCTGCAGGCTGACCAGCGTGTGGTTCACAAAGGTCTAATGTGGCGGCTGCGGCATGCGTTCCGGGGTCAGTGGACATGTTCAAATGCCAGGAAAGTCAGGAATGACTTTTAGGAGTGGTGCGAAGTGCCCACAGTCGATCTGCACGATCAACAAGAACAGAGTGCAACCCGTAGAGAGCTCGAGAACCAAGGTGAATGTCAAAGCAAGATTGCTGAACCTGGACCCGGGAAGCTTTGTCCGAAAAGCTCCAAACTGAAGTCCAAAGCAATTTACGTAATGCCAGGTTTTCGAGATCACTGATATGATCCCCGACAGGAAGCCAGCCGAAGCCGGACGGCATCCGCGTCCACACGGGAACGCTTGCACGCCGCCTATTGCGGAAAAGAATTACGAAGCAATGCAATGTGATGATGCATAAATTACAACAAATGTCTTGCTCTTGCTGTCAAAAAGTCAAGCTAGCTAGCGATGCACTGAAAGCTGCACGATTTGGTGTGTGGCTTGAACCAAAAGCAACAAAGTACGGTGATCTTTCACAAACAGCAAACAGCTATGAGTAAACACATGACCCGTGGTTATTGGGTGGAAGCTCAAGGGACTGCAAAAGATCCGGATGAACTGGTGTTATTTCCCTGCACTACGATTTTTTCCAATATAAAGGAACCGCCTGAATTGGAGCTGGAAGGGGTGGTAGAAGAACAGGAGCCTTCTCCTCCAGAGCATCGCCTCAAGGGGAAAAAACCGGCGCTTCGGTTTGCTGATGAGGAAGGACCTCCTTTACCTCCACCTCGCGATCCTCCAGTTCGCCATCGGTTGATGGAGAAAAGCCCGGCCTCTTCACTGCGTGGTCATGTGGGCTCCTTGCGCTTGCTTCGCAAGCGGGGGGAGAGTCCGCCCTTGGAAATTTTAGAGGATGACACGCAGGGTCTGGGGGAGCTGGAAGAAAATGCAGATGTTGAGGACAATGTTCCTGGTGATGAGTATTGGCCGACCTGTTGTTCTCCTCATGAAAATGCTTATTTGGTCTGCAAAAGTGAGACTGCTGAGGATGGAACACAGTTGGAAAAAGAAGAGCAAAAAGCCAAGTCAATGTATGAAAGGTCTATGTATGATTACGTGGACTGTGAGGAGCTTCTGGAAGGGATTGTATACCCAAAGAGGGTGAATCGAAGAGGTGGTATCAACAATTGGTGCACAAGTACGCGAGCTCTGGTGTTGGGCCACTATACTCATGGCGGAGTGTGTGGTATTACAAAAGAGACTCATCGAAGGCCATGGCTATGTCGTTATCTGGCATCATTCGTGAGACACCACAATCCTGAAGCCAAATTTTCTGCTCTTCAGATCTCGTGCAATGCTCCGGTGTCATTGCATAGGGATAGTCACAATGAAAAACATTGCTGCAATTATGTGTGTGGCTTTGGTGACTATAAAGATGGTCAGCTGTGGGTTGAGGATGAAAAGGTTTTAGAGGAAGGAGCTGAAGTGGTGGAGCAATCCTATGGGAAGAAAGTCTTACCTGGAAAATTGGTGGATATCCACTGGAACTTCATGTCGTTCTTTCCGAGAAAACTGCATGGTCCTATGCCTTGGAAAGGGAACAGGGTATCCTTGACAGGGTACACACCTGTTTTTATGGAACGTTTGAGCTACAAGGATAGGTGCTATCTTCTCCAATGTAAACTCAAGCAAAGAAGCGCCACTTTGGGCATACCTTGGGACCCCTCTTAAAAGGACTGTTCGCATAAAGCGGGAACATCCCAACGCATACCTCTAGGAACCTCCTGGAGAGTTCGACGGGGTGCTTGGGCTCAGGGCTCCGAGCGCAGAGCTCCGGTTTAGGGTTTAGGGTTTAGGGTTTAGGGTTTAGGGTTTAGGGTTTAGGGTTTAGGGTTTAGGGTTTAGGGTTTAGGGTTTAGGGTTTAGGGTTTAACCCCTGTGTAGTTGGGGGAAGAGATGTCCTGAAATCAGACCTGGAGCTCATTTTTCCCAGCTCAAAAAAAATATCTTCACCCAAATAAAAAGGGATGCTGGAGTCTCTGGGCGTGCTGATCAGAGCCCCGAAAGACCCCGCCTCCCGCTGTAGCTGGCGTAGTGAAGGCCGAAGAAGCCCGCGACCTGAGCCCAAATCCCCTCAGTTGAGGAATAGACCTTAAATTGAATATGCATACAGAGATATACATACATACATATATCTATATATATATTTATTTATTTATTTATATTTATTTATTTATTTATTTATATTTATATTTATCTTTATCTTTATATTTATATTTATATGTATATTTATATTTATATTTATTTTTATTTTATATTTATGAATTACGGCATATTGCTTCTAGTTCAGGGTGTAGTCACTGCCCGCAACGAAGCTGGGCACGTGGAGGTGGTGGGCGGGACATGGGTTGCAAGAAAGCCACTATGCGCTCAGCCGACGGTGTCAGCACTCGCCCCTTCACGAGACCGTTGCTTGGCGCTCGCGCATCCACCTTGGCAACGCAAGGGGCAGGGTTTAGGGTTGAGGGTTGAGGGTTGAGGGTTTAGGGTTTAGGGTTTAGGGTTTAGGGTTTAGGGTTTAGGGTTTAGGGTTTAGGGTTTAGGGTTTAGGGTTTCAAGTTGAGGGTTTAGGGTTTAGGGTTTAGGGTTGAGGGTTGAGGGTTTAGGGTTTAGGGTTTAGGGTTTAGGGTTTAGAGTTTAGGGTTTAGGGTTTAGGGTTTAGGGTTTAGGGTTTAGGGTTTAGGGTTTAGGGCAACTACACGAAACTCTCTCTCATCCCCGAACCCAAATGCCAGGCGGCCGTCTCAGCGCAGTCGCACGACGCAGTCGGGCCTTCCAAGACGATAGGATCATCGGAAAAAGATGGGAAGGGCAAAGGCAGCTGGGTTCATCTACTCAGAAGAACCTCTGCTGCTGGGGGCACCTAAAAGGGGGGGACGATTTTGCGGAGAACTGCCCCGCTGTCTCCCTTTTTTTGTTGTCCTGAGAAGGTAGAGGCCTCTGCAGGGCTGTGCCCTTGGGCCAAGAGCTGAAGAGGTGTTGCAGGCCGCCTCAGTCACATGGGCGTTTCCAAAAAAGGGGGGGGGGGGGGGGGGGGGTGCTACCCTGAATATACCCCAAAAGAGTGTAATCCTTCTTATAGGAAGTCCCCCAAAAGGGTACCCCTATTCTTCGGAAATTCCCACATCGCTTTGGGTGAAGAGCTTCCGAGGCCTTCGGCGCTTTCGAGGTTTGTTTGGGGGGTTTGAAGTGTTGTGTTTAGTTGGTTGAAAGTTCTACAGGCCGAAAGGGCTTTAAGGCCAGGACATCATTAAGTCTTGTGTTTTTTTGGGGGTTCAAGCAGAGGCTTTCAGAAGAAGTCACCTGTGGATGAGGGAGTTTCGAGCTACGCAGCAGACCATGCGTCCAGGGAGCGGGGTGCAGTTCCTGCCTATCATCGTATACGGAGCTATGGCGGCGCTTTCAGTGGCCTGCTTCAGTCCACCCGTCCGATTTATTAGCTGAAGCAACTCACAGTTGCAGCTCTTGTGCCTTGAGGCTTTAGGGCCCATGCCAGTGAATGTTCCGCGCTTCTTTCAGACCCGCCGGAAACTGTGCGAGATCGGCTAAACCATAAACCCTAAACCCTAACCCTAAACCCTAAACCCTGCGCCCCCTTGCGCAAACAGCTGAGGGCCGAGCTCTGGCCGCTGGGGGCAGGAAGTCGTTCGCGTACGTCAGCGACCCCTCACTCGAACAGTGTCAAGTGGTGAAGCTTGCTGTTGGCCTTTGAGCGCCCTTCTTGGCCTAAGCCCTCAAACCCTAAACCCTAAACCCTAAACCCTGAACCCTGAACCCTAAACCCTAAACCGCTAGACCCTGAACCCTCGACAGCTCATCCCTGAACCCATTACATCTCCTTGCGACTTCATTGCCGGGCTTCTCATGCTCCTGCTTCTAAAACCTTCACCTAGCTTGAAAGTGGAGTCCCCTTGAAGAAACATTTTGATGCGGACCCCCCCACCCCCCAAAAAAGACGAGAACGACGTATTTGGACCTAGCAACGGGGCAGAAGGAGACCATGAAGCTCGTCACAGCTTGCGTAGGCTCGCAAGACAAGGTGTCCTGCACAGGGATGACCAGAGTCCTGAAACGCGCACCATGATCACCTCTTGAGAAACCACTGTAAGGGGGGTGTCCCCTAGACCAACCTCAGTTCCCGAATAGGAACTTGGTGGGAATGTCGAAGCCATCGCGATCATCGAGCCACGAAGCGCAGCTTTTGCTTCTTCTTCTTCTTCTTCTTATTCTTCTTCTTATTCTTCTTCTTCTTCTTCTTCTTCTTCTTCTTCTTCTTCTTCTTCTTCTTCTTCTTCTTCTTCTTCTTCTTCTTCTTCTTCTTCTTCTTCTTCTTCTTCTTCGTCTTCTTCTACTTCTACTTCTACTTCTACTTCTGCTTCTACTTCTACTTCTGCTTCTACGTCTACTTCTACTTCTACGTCTACCTCTATTTCTACTCCTACTCCTACTCCTACTCCTGCTTCTACTCCTACTCCCGCTTCTACTCCTACTCCTACTTCTACTTCTGCTTCAGCGTCGACGTACGGCTGTCCTGACCAGCTTCGGTCGAGATGTTGCAGCAGCCTGCGCAGGGGGGCAAACATGCCAGCTGCCAACAGGCGGGCAGAAGAAGTCATGTCAGCTTGCTTTAGGGTTTAGGGTTTAGGGGTTAGGGTTTAGAGTTTAGGTTGTAGAGTTTGGGGTTTAGGGCTTAGGGCTTAGGATTTAGGGTTTAGGGTTTAGTGTTTAGACAACAGCCCGGACGAATGACCTCTGAACCAGTACTGACCCTGACCCGGAGCAAAAGCAACTGCAATTGTTTCCTCTCTTTCCCACTCGGGCTAAGCGAGGTACCCTAAACCCTAAACCCTAAACCCTAAACCCTAAACCCTAAACCCTAAACCCTAAAACCTCAACATCCGGCGTGATGCAGCAAAGCCACATCGCTCACCCGTGCTCTTGGCCTCCATAGAAACCGTCTAGAACTGGAGCGGCTTGGGTTTAAAGCTTCGGGTTTAGTGTTTAGGGTTTAGCGTTTAGCGCTTAGGGTTTAGGGTTTAGGGTTTAGCGTTTAGGGTTTGGGCTCCGTTGAGGGTTTGGGGCTTGGGGCTCGGGGCTCGGGGCATGGGGCTCGGGGCTCGGGGCTCGGGGCTTGGGGCTTGGGGCTTGGGGTTGCTACAGGTGGGTAGCTGTTTCTAAGAATGAGTAGATATAGTCAGGCAAGCCTCTTCAAAAACAGTTGAAGGGCACACCACCCTCCCAACACACCCCGGTGGGTGGGGTGGGGGGGGGGAGCGGGCGCGTGTGATCTGTCGGCTGCGGTCACCTCATGTTCAGCTGGCATGATGACATCCAATGCATCGGTTTTGGGATGGGCATTTGGTTCAGAAATTCTTTACTTCAGAATTTCTGGGGCTGACTTTGTCTTTCCGCCTTGGATGTTTTCCACCCCGGGGCTGGATGTCTTCGACTTAAGAATTTGAACCTCCCCCCCCTGAAATCTGGAGGGCACATTCTACTTCAGCTCAGCTCTCTTGACCGAGCTGGAAGCCGGACAAAACCTCCGAATGAAGAATCTGGGCCCTCAGATTCTGAATTTGGAAGGCTTTAACCAAAAAGCTGAGCCCTCAGATTCTTAATCTAGAACGTTTTGAACAAGTGGGCCCCACCTAGAAAAACCTCCAAATCAAGCAAAGTTTGGAAAGTTTTACACAGGTGGGCCCCACTTAGACAACCTCCAAATTAACAATCTGAGCCCTTAGAGCCGTGCACGAGCCCAAAGATTCTTAGCCATTCTACAATAAGCTTAGAATCTCGAATCCCAGCTAAGAATGTTCTAAGAATCTGACCCCCCCGTCAACCAGAACAGTAGCAAAACACATACCACGCAGCTCAGAATTTGAGCCCCCCCCCCCCCCTCCCCCACCCCGACGTGAATCTCGCGCATTCTTAACCGATGCTCGCAATGTATGCGAGCGCACCTTGGGTCTCTACTACGCTGAGTAGATCACGCTGTAAACCCTTGACTTGAGCCACGATGAAATAGGAAAGCCCCAAAACCTGCAAACCAAGTAATCCCCCTGCACCCTAAAAATCCCCGAAATCCAACTCCTCAACTCCTCAACTCCTCAACTCCTCAACTCCTCAGCTCCTCAGCTCCTCAGCTCCTCAACTCCTCAACTCCTCAACTCCTCAGCTCCTCAGCTCCTCAACTCCTCAACTCCTCAACTCCTCAACTCAACTCCTCAACTCCTCAACTCCTCAGCTCCTCAGCTCCTCAACTCCTCAACTCCTCAACCCTCAACCCTCAACACTAAGCCTCGAGCATCCTCCTGCCTCCTGAACAGCAAAGCGGTTCGCCAGCCCGGAGGGGAGTTTGGTTAGCCAGGCAAAGAGGGCCAGGCCAGTGAATCCATGTCGCGCCATTGCTTTTCAGACCCTTATATATTAGTACGGAAGGAGTCAGGCACCCTATATCATCCCTTCAAGGGGTATACAGGGGGAGCAAAGGTACCGAACTCCCTGATTCCGTCAGGTGCTTTCTACATCGCTTCGTGTCGCCCAAAGCTTTGACACACACAGCACACGTGGGAGCCCAAAACAGACCAAATGAGGAATGATGACACGGAAAAACGGGCACGGTGCTGGAGTATGCAGAGAGCAAGGTACAGGGTTGTATGGGGCATTTCGGTTGAGGCGCCCTCCCCCGGCTACAACAGTTGGGCAGACAACAGACTCTCGAGCCCAAAAAACCAAGTTGCAACAAGCTCTCGTCAGCTTTCAATCATGCCATCACAGGCAGGAAGTGCAGCAGCACAGCGGGGCGCTGGAGGGGTTTAGGGTTTAGGGTTTAGGGTTTAGGGTTTAGGGTTTAGGGTTTAGGGTTAGGGGTTAGGGTTTGTTGGGGTTTAGGGTTTAGGGTTTAGGGTTTAGGGTTTAGGGTTTAGGGTTTAGGGTTAGGGTTTAGGGTTTAGGGTTTAGGTTTAGGGTTTAGGGTTTAGGGTTTAGTGGTTAGGTTTAGGGTTTAGGTTAGGTTAGGGTTTTGGGTTAGGGTTTAGGGTTAGGTTTAGGGTTTAGGGTTTCGGGTTAGGGTTTTTAGGTTTAGGGTTTAGGGTTTAGGGTTTAGGGTTAGGGTTAGGGTTAGGTGTTAGGTTTATGGTTTAGGGTTTAGGGTTTAGGGTTTAGGCTTTAGGGTTTAGGGTTTAGGGTTTAGGGTTTAGGGTTTAGGGTTTAGGGTTTAGGGTTTAGGGTTTAGGGTTTAGGGTTTAGGGTTTAGGGTTTAGGGTTTAGGGTTTAGGGTTTAGGGTTGCATGCAGAGCTTCTTTCCTGCGCGTCGCTGCTCTGTCCCAAGCAGGCATGTTATGTACAGCTGCGGCAGCTGGAGGGCAAACTGTATGGCGGAAAGCAACTCCGAGGTTTAGGGTTTAGGGTTTAGGGTTTAGGGTTTAGGGTTTAGGGGTTTGGGGTTTAGGGTTGAGGGTTTGGGGTTCAGCTTTTCCAGTTCGCAGCACCCCGCCCCGGCACTGCCGGGCAGTGCCGGGAGAGCGAGCGCCAGCGCTGCGCGGTGGCTGCGCAGCCTCCTCTGTACAAACCTCAAGAGCATTTTTCAAAAGTCCTGCAGCATCTTGCCTCGAAAAGCTCCCAAAAGGACGCTGGGGCAGGAATTCCATCTCGAGGCATTCGAACCTCAATGTTGCCTTCGAGCACGGAGAGCGTCTGAGGGGCATGACTGCAACGCAGGCGCTCGGGCTCAAGATTGCAGCACGTCTGCGCCTGTCGGGCTGGCCCCTAGACAACGTACAGGCCAGATGCCTCGGCTTTCTCAGAGGCTTGCAGGTGGGAGCGCCAGGATCCCTGAACCCTAAGCCCTAAGGATCACAACGGGCCAAGATCCGAGCCTGTCCACAAAACGCCGGTTTGGCATCAAGGGCCGGATAGGAGCCCGCATCCACACACTTCCTCGGTGAAGAGCATCAAGGAAAGCGTCTCTCGAGACTCCAATATGTCTTAGCCTTAGGAATGCTCCTTAAGTCACATGGGTAAATCTCAAATTGTGGGTCCCCTTTGGGGTGCCGTGTGTATAGGGTAGCGCAAGGCTCCGAATTACAATAGGAACACTCGTGTCACTGTCAAAACCTCACAAGGTATCGCCACAACTCCCAAAGCGGAGGTCCAGTCCGAAAGACATGACACTGGCACCCTAGAATCAGAGGGTTCTTAAGGGAGGGGGGGGTTTCAAGGGGGGTAGGTATCTAGGAAGTATTAGGGAACCTTGGGTTACATACCCCCCCTTAAGAACCCTAGAACGTTCAGCATACGGGAGCTCCTGAAGCACTACATTCCTCGCTGGTTCGATGGTAGGGTTGAGGGTGGGTTTAGGGAAAACCACAAACCCCAAGAGCCAGCAAGAAACAGGGCTTTCAGGCGTGGCCCTCCCTGCAACCTGTATAAGTTTCGCCGTCGGTATAGGCTTGAGGGTAACCAGCTTCTGTTGCACTGGTAGCTGCAATCACCCATCTTACCAGGTAAGTAGACCCAAAACCGTCTAAACCCTCAAACCCTAGGCCCGCCCTACATGCGAAACCATGAACACCGGACCCTGGTGTAAGTCTTAAGCTATCTCAGGACGCCCTGCTTCCTTCCTCCCCCCCCCCCCCCCCCCCCCCCCAAAGCAAAAAACACACAAAGCATTCCCAAAACCCCAAATCCAACATTGAGGGTCTAGAAGAGTAAGGCGTTTGGGGGTTGTGGGTGGACGCACCCTACACCCGATGCTTAAAGACCGTTTAACTCCAAACCCACACGGAGCCCTGGACTCCACAAACCCCAGAGACCCTGCAGAAACCCTATAAACCTACAACAAAGCCTACAAGCCCCAGAATAAACCCTACACACCCTATAATGAACCCTACAAACGCTATAAACCCTATAAACCCTATAAACCCTATAAGCCCTTTAAACCCTACAAACCCTTTCAACCCTTTAAACCCTATGAACCCTGGAAACCCTGCAAAGACCCCATAAACCCCACAAGCCCCATAAATCCTATGAACCCTATCAACCCTATCAACCCTATGAACCCTACGAACACCCTATAGATTATGAACCCTACGAACCCTATAAACCCTATTATAAACCCTATAAACCCTATTATAAACCCTATAAACCCCATGAACCCTATAAACCCTATGAACCCTATAAACCCTATAAATCCTATAAACCCTATAAACCCTATAAACCCTATAAACCCTATAAACCCTATAAACCCTATAAATCCTATAAATCCTATAAACCCCATAAACCCTATGAACCCTACCAACACCCTATAAACCCTGACGGAACCAGGCAGCTTCTGGTCCACGGTGGTGAGGCCTGGCGAGGCGTCCACCACCCAGCCAAGCCCACGCGCCCCTCAGCAGGTGCAGGGATACAGGGTGTTTAGGGTTTAGGGCTCGGGTTTAGGGTTTAGGGTTTAAGGTTTAGGGTTTAGGGTTTAGGGTTTAGGGTTTAGGGTTTAGGGTTTAGGGTTTAGGGTTTAGGGTTTAGGGTTTAGGGTTTAGGGTTTAGGGGTTAGGGGTGTTTATTGTGGGCCTGTAGTGCTGCGAGTTGTTTCTTGGGTTCAAGGTTCTAGGGTTGTCGACTTGTAGGCTTCGGGTTACAGGGGTTAGAAAGGCTACTTTTCGGGTTTAGGGTTTAGGGTTTAGGGTTTGGAGTTTGGGGTTTAGGGTTTAGGGTTTAGGTGTAGGGTTTGCAGAGGTTAGGGTCTATAAGGGTTCATAGGGCTCAGGGTTCATGTGTTTAGGGTTCAGGCTTGAAAGGCTTTAGTGTTGAGGGTTTGCCGTTGAAGGTTGAGGGTCTCAGGGGAGCTTTGGGGTTATGGGATGTAGGGGGTCTGGGGGGGTATGGGGATTCTTTGGGGGACAAGAGAGACTAGAGGAGAGAATGTAGGATGCCCCAACAAGGCAACAAAAAGGAGCCGACCCGCCCTGAGCTTGGTAAACCATGAACGTCCTCAACCTTCCTCCCTAAACCCGGACCCACAAACTTAGTTTTCATGGTTGGGATAGTATTAAAAGTTTAAATGTCTAATCCTTATTGAGTGTAAAGTACCCTTGAAAATGCAATCTTGTTACCCAACTAGGACAAAGAAAGAAACCTGCAAAAGCCCTCAAGCCCCAAGACTTCTTACAAGACCTGGCCATGTCTCGAAGTCGTGCCATCATCGATGCAAACTCCTGGGCAGGGTTTGCCAGATGCAGCACAAGAAGACCACAAAAAGCACCGTCCTTCTCGGAAAGATTCACCTTGTTTTGCTACGAATTCCGTGATTGTCTCGGCCTGCAGCTTTACAGGCGCCGGTCCACCGCCGACTGGGCGCAGCCATGCCTCACCGCTGGCAGCCCTGCGCTGCTCAACAGCACTGGACAAGAGACGCCTGAGCGTCCACTTGCCTTCTGTACAGACATGTTTGGAAAGGATTCGGGGCTGGGGAGTGGGAGGCCTCATAGAGACTGCGCTTCAGCCGGTCAGGGCTGCACAGTTGTGGCGCAAGCGAAGGGCCAGAGTTTGCAGAGCCTCAGAAGATCTCAGAAGCCTGCAGTTGGTGCTTTGACCTTCTTGGTCGGTCGTGGGAAGCTCTTGCGAACACCGTTCTTGAAGATGACGGGCTTGTACTCGTCGGGCACACTGCGATGCATCACAGGGCTGTTCCTGTAACGCTCCACGTGCGCCTGGACAAGGGTGCAAGACGCAAGCAACACCACAAAGCCTCAAAGCAGTCAGCCTAAACGCTAGGAACCTGTGAACCCTTTCTCCCAGCCCGGCCTTGAAGCCTTGGTGCGGGCCACTCCAGCTCACCTGGCAGACCTTGGCCGTGGGCAGGGACCAGCCTGAGAAGCCATCGAAGGCCTGCCACAGCTCGTCGACGGCCGCGCCGTCCACCAGGTTCACGAAAGCGTAGCCAAGGTTGGCCTGGCGGTAGAAGTCACAGGGCAGGTAAACAAAGTCGTAGCGCCCAGCAAAGCCATGCTCATCCAACAGAGCCAGGAACATCTCGCGACAATAATTGTTCGGAATGTTACGAAGCATCAGCGTGGTACGCTCAGGAGTCGTGCGCTTGGCCGAATCCTTCTCTGTCCTCGTCTCTGTCCTGGTCTCTGTCGCCTGTGGCACGGGCTCGGCCGCTACAGGTGCACGGGGCGCGTTAGCTGCCTCTTGCACCTTGGCATGTTCATCACTGAACCTCCCAGGCTCATAGGCCTCCTCTTCGGCAAAGGCGCCCGCCAAGACCGAATCGGTCATGGCTCTGCGCAGCTGCCTGTAGCGTTGCATCAGGCTCCGGCCATCATCCACATCGATGAACGTGCTCCTCACAACCACGTTGCATGGGCCCTCCTCTTCATCACACGCGTCAGCCGTACCACTGGAGCGCGGCGATGGGAGTTCAGAAGGGCAAGAGTCCTCGACAGTTTCGATGTCGCTGTGCTCAGCCGCCACAGTGCTTTCTACATCACTCTGGCAGTCTGCATTCTTTAGGAGCTCTGGGACGGCCAAGACAGTCCAGGGAGTCGACAGGCAGGACATGGCAACGACGACTAGACAAACGTTGACGGTCGCACTTCTTGACGACTTCTCAAGTCCCTATTCCTGCACTTGCTGGAAAGCATCGGGCCGAAATTCGTGCACAGCTTGAGGCAAAGGCACCGTGAGGGACCTGGCTCTCGGCACATGCACACGAGATGCAAGAGATGCTAGAGATGTTTTGCTACGAATTCCGTGATTGTCTCGGCCTGCAGCTTTACAGGCGCCGGTCCACCGCCGACTGGGCGCAGCCATGCCTCACCACTGGCAGCCCTGCGCTGCTCAACAGCACTGGACAAGAGACGCCTGAGCGTCCACTTGCCTTCTGTACAGACATGTTTGAAAAGGATTCGGGCCTGGGGAGTGGGAGGCCTCATAGAGACTGCGCTTCAACCGGTCAGGGCTGCACAGTTGTGGCGCAAGCGAAGGGCCAGAGTTTGCAGAGCCTCAGAAGATCTCAGAAGCCTGCAGTTGGTGCTTTGACCTTCTTGGTCGGTCGTGGGAAGCTCTTGCGAACACCGTTCTTGAAGATGACGGGCTTGTACTCGTCGGGCACGCTGCGATGCATCACAGGGCTGTTCCTGTAACGCTCCACGTGTGCCTGGACAAGGGTGCAAGACGCAAGCAACACCACAAAGCCTCAAAGCAGTCAGCCTAAACGCTAGGAACCTGTGAACCCTTTCTCCCAGCCCGGCCTTGAAGCCTTGGTGCGGGCCACTCCAGCTCACCTGGCAGACCTTGGCCGTGGGCAGGGACCAGCCTGAGAAGCCATCGAAGGCCTGCCACAGCTCGTCGACGGCCGCGCCGTCCACCAGGTTCACGAAAGCGTAGCCAAGGTTGGCCTGGCGGTAGAAGTCACAGGGCAGGTAAACAAAGTCGTAGCGCCCAGCAAAGCCATGCTCATCCAACAGAGCCAGGAACATCTCGCGACAATAATTGTTCGGAATGTTACGAAGCATCAGCGTGGTACGCTCAGGAGTCGTGCGCTTGGCCGAATCCTTCTCTGTCCTCGTCTCTGTCCTGGTCTCTGTCGCCTCTGGCACGGGCTCTGCCGCTACAGGTGCACGGGGCGCGTTAGCTCCCTCTTGCACCTTGGCATGTTCATCGCTGAACCTCCCAGGCTCATAGGCCTCCTCTTCGGCAAAGGCGCCCGCCAAGACCGAATCGGTCATGGCTCTGCGCAGCTGCCTGTAGCGTTGCATCAGGCTCCGGCCATCATCCACATCGATGAACGTGCTCCTCACAACCACGTTGCATGGGCCCTCCTCTTCATCACACGCGTCAGCCGTACCACTGGAGCGCGGCGATGGGAGTTCAGAAGGGCAAGAGTCCTCGACAGTTTCGATGTCGCTGTGCTCAGCCGCCACAGTGCTTGCTACATCACTCTGGCAATCTGCATTCTTTAGGAGCTCTGGGACAGCCAAGACAGTCCAGGGAGTCGACAGGCAGGACATGGCAACGACGACTAGACAAACGTTGACGGTCGCACTTCTTGACGACTTCTCAAGTCCCTATTCCTGCACTTGCTGGAAAGCATCGGGCCGAAATTCGTGCACAGCTTGAGGCAAAGGCACCGTGAGGGACCTGGCTCTCGACACATGCACAAGAGATGCAAGAGATGCTAGAGATGTTTTGCTACGAATTCCGTGATTGTCTCGGCCTGCAGCTTTACAGGCGCCGGTCCACCGCCGACTGGGCGCAGCCATGCCTCACCACTGGCAGCCCTGCGCTGCTCAACAGCACTGGACAAGAGACGCCTGAGCGTCCACTTGCCTTCTGTACAGACATGTTTGAAAAGGATTCGGGGCTGGGGAGTGGGAGGCCTCATAGAGACTGCGCTTCAGCCGGTCAGGGCTGCACAGTTGTGGCGCAAGCGAAGGGCCAGAGTTTGCAGAGCCTCAGAAGATCTCAGAAGCCTGCAGTTGGTGCTTTGACCTTCTTGGTCGGTCGTGGGAAGCTCTTGCGAACACCGTTCTTGAAGATGACGGGCTTGTACTCGTCGGGCACGCTGCGATGCATCACAGGGCTGTTCCTGTAACGCTCCACGTGCGCCTGGACAAGGGTGCAAGACGCAAGCAACACCACAAAGCCTCAAAGCAGTCAGCCTAAACGCTAGGAACCTGTGAACCCTTTCTCCCAGCCCGGCCTTGAAGCCTTGGTGCGGGCCACTCCAGCTCACCTGGCAGACCTTGGCCGTGGGCAGGGACCAGCCTGAGAAGCCATCGAAGGCCTGCCACAGCTCGTCGACGGCCGCGCCGTCCACCAGGTTCACGAAAGCGTAGCCAAGGTTGGCCTGGCGGTAGAAGTCACAGGGCAGGTAAACAAAGTCGTAGCGCCCAGCAAAGCCATGCTCATCCAACAGAGCCAGGAACATCTCGCGACAATAATTGTTCGGAATGTTACGAAGCATCAGCGTGGTACGCTCAGGAGTCGTGCGCTTGGCCGAATCCTTCTCTGTCCTCGTCTCTGTCCTGGTCTCTGTCGCCTGTGGCACGGGCTCTGCCGCTACAGGTGCACAGGGCGCGTTAGCTGCCTCTTGCACCTTGGCATGTTCATCGCTGAACCTCCCAGGCTCATAGGCCTCCTCTTCGGCAAAGGCGCCTGCCAAGACCGAATCGGTCATGGCTCTGCGCAGCTGCCTGTAGCTTTGCATCAGGCTCCGGCCATCATCCACATCGATGAACGTGCTCCTCACAACCACGTTGCATGGGCCCTCCTCTTCATCACACGCGTCAGCCGTACCACTGGAGCGCGGCGATGGGAGTTCAGAAGGGCAAGAGTCCTCGACAGTTTCGATGTCGCTGTGCTCAGCCGCCACAGTGCTTTCTACATCACTCTGGCAGTCTGCATTCTTTAGGAGCTCTGGGACAGCCAAGACAGTCCAGGGAGTCGACAGGCAGGACATGGCAACGACGACTAGACAAACGTTGACGGTCGCACTTCTTGACGACTTCTCAAGTCCCTATTCCTGCACTTGCTGGAAAGCATCGGGCCGAAATTCGTGCACAGCTTGAGGCAAAGGCACCGTGAGGGACCTGGCTCTCGGCACATGCACACGAGATGCAAGAGATGCTAGAGATGTTTTGCTACGAATTCCGTGATTGTCTCGGCCTGCAGCTTTACAGGCGCCGGTCCACCGCCGACTGGGCGCAGCCATGCCTCACCACTGGCAGCCCTGCGCTGCTCAACAGCACTGGACAAGAGACGCCTGAGCGTCCACTTGCCTTCTGTACAGACATGTTTGAAAAGGATTCGGGCCTGGGGAGTGGGAGGCCTCATAGAGACTGCGCTTCAACCGGTCAGGGCTGCACAGTTGTGGCGCAAGCGAAGGGCCAGAGTTTGCAGAGCCTCAGAAGATCTCAGAAGCCTGCAGTTGGTGCTTTGACCTTCTTGGTCGGTCGTGGGAAGCTCTTGCGAACACCGTTCTTGAAGATGACGGGCTTGTACTCGTCGGGCACGCTGCGATGCATCACAGGGCTGTTCCTGTAACGCTCGACGTGTGCCTGGACAAGGGTGCAAGACGCAAGCAACACCACAAAGCCTCAAAGCAGTCAGCCTAAACGCTAGGAACCTGTGAACCCTTTCTCCCAGCCCGGCCTTGAAGCCTTGGTGCGGGCCACTCCAGCTCACCTGGCAGACCTTGGCCGTGGGCAGGGACCAGCCTGAGAAGCCATCGAAGGCCTGCCACAGCTCGTCGACGGCCGCTCCGTCCACCAGGTTCACGAAAGCGTAGCCAAGGTTGGCCTGGCGGTAGAAGTCACAGGGCAGGTAAACAAAGTCGTAGCGCCCAGCAAAGCCATGCTCATCCAACAGAGCCAGGAACATCTCGCGACAATAATTGTTCGGAATGTTACGAAGCATCAGCGTGGTACGCTCAGGAGTCGTGCGCTTGGCCGAATCCTTCTCTGTCCTCGTCTCTGTCCTGGTCTCTGTGGCCTGTGGCACGGGCTCTGCCGCTACAGGTGCACAGGGCGCGTTAGCTGCCTCTTGCACCTTGGCATGTTCATCGCTGAACCTCCCAGGCTCATAGGCCTCCTCTTCGGCAAAGGCGCCCGCCAAGACCGAATCGGTCATGGCTCTGCGCAGCTGCCTGTAGCGTTGCATCAGGCTCCGGCCATCATCCACATCGATGAACGTGCTCCTCACAACCACGTTGCATGGGCCCTCCTCTTCATCACACGCGTCAGCCGTACCACTGGAGCGCGGCGATGGGAGTTCAGAAGGGCAAGAGTCCTCGACAGTTTCGATGTCGCTGTGCTCAGCCGCCACAGTGCTTGCTACATCACTCTGGCAGTCTGCATTCTTTAGGAGCTCTGGGACGGCCAAGACAGTCCAGGGAGTCGACAGGCAGGACATGGCAACGACGACTAGACAAGCGTTGACGGTCGCACTTCTTGACGACTTCTCAAGTCCCTATTCCTGCACTTGCGGGAAAGCCTCGGGCCGAGATTCGAGCAGCCAACATGGCACTGATGCTCACGAGGACACCCCGCAGATGAGAAGCGGAGAGGTCAACTCAGGGCCCCCCCAAGTCCTTCTCGTCGATCAAGGGGTTTCGGTGGTAGAAGTTCACAGCCGCAAATCTGATGCCCCGCTCGGGGTTGTCATCGTTCCTCGGCAGCTTAGGGCCTCTGAGAAATCGGTCGAAGTCGAGCTACAGCCGACGTTTTAGGGGTCGAGGGCTTTTTGGGTTTTAGGGTTCAGGGTTTGCTGTTGAGGTTTCGGGTGCGAGTTAAGCATTCAGAGTCCACCTTATGGGCTTCGGCTGGGGAAGACCGGCTTGGGTATGCGTGGTCCCTTAGTCTGGGCCCCGTAAGAGGGGAACCCTTATATTTATACCCCCTACGTATCTTACAAAAATAAAGGGGCCCATACATCAGACCCCTTTAAAGGAAGATCGGGACCATAGAAAGGGCCCATGAAACTACCCTCAGACATCTGGAGGCTTAAGCCTCCTAGGGGGGGCGTTTTTAGGCTCTTGCAGACCCTAAACCCTAAACCCTAAACCCTAAACCCTAAACCCTAAACCCTAAACCCTAAACCCTAAACCCTAAACCCTTGCAGCGAAGGCGCTTGCACTGGAACTCAAGAGTCCAGTTGTAGGTGCCGTTGACGGCCACACCAACCTCAGATGTTCGGGGTTTCCGAGTAGGGGTACCCATTTTGGGGGGGGTTTAGGGTTTAGGGTTTAGGGTTTAGGGTTTAGGGTTTAGGGTTTACGGGGGTCCCTTAAAGGGGATTCTATTCTGTTTGGTGTACAAAAGGGGTGCCCCTATTTTGGGAAAGCCCATGTTCAGGGTTTAGGTGATGCGTCTCATGGACCCTCACAGCCGACATCATGGCAACAACCCGGGGTTCTTGGTAAGGAACTTATCTCAAGTGTTCATCACAGGTTCACGACGCAACTCATATAGTTGACGACTTAATTCTTTTGATAGCGCCCGTACTGAAGAAATTCGCCTCGGCTTCCTGCCGAGAAGCGTCTGGAACAAGCAGACCCGGATCGGGCCTCCTTCCCCCTAACTCAACCCTTCCCCCATGCCAAAGCTGGTGCCCCCTCGTCCTCAAAGCGCACAACCCCCCCCACCCCCCCCCCCCCCACCCCCCCCCCCCCCCCCCCCCCCCAACCCCCCCCACCCCCCCAAACCCCCCCCAACCCCCCCAACCCCCCAACCCCCCACCACTTCAAACACCCTTTTTTGCAGAAACCCTCTTTCCTCCTTTCCTGCGCGCGCAAGCGTTTACAATTATCCAGACCCTCACCTCATAAACTCCGAAGGCCGATACGTCCGAGCCGAAGCCCTGAACTCTGCAATAGAAAAAGAAAGCCTGAAGCCTTAAACCCAAACTTAAGGTTCCCTAGATTCCCTAGGTACCTACCCGCCCCTGAACCCGCCTATGAGAACCCTATGAGAAGCCTGAAGCCTTAAACCCAAAGCTCTTGGCCAGGCCACGTCCACCACAGTATTCGCGATGTCCGTTAGGTTCGGGTTGAAGAAGGAATGGCCCGACCTGGGCCCACGCCAGGTTTAGGGTTTAGGGTTTAGGGTTTTTAGAGTTCAGGGTTCAGGGTTCAGGGTTCAGGGTTTAGGGTTTAGGGTTTAGGGTTTAGGGTTTAGGGTTTAGGGTTTAGGGTTTAGGGTTTAGGGTTTAGGGTTTAGGGTTTAGGGTTTAGGGTTTAGGGTTTAGGGTTTAGGGTTTAGGGTTAAGGGTTAAGGGTTAAGGGTTTAGGGGGAGGGGGGGTTAACGAGCCCTAAACCCCCCTGAATCTTCCTCTAGAAGGTAGAACCCCCACAGCATACCTAGCTCGCCTGAATAACTCGCCTTCTCTCTACTTCAGGGTCCCCTCAAAACCCTGCCACCCTCTTTGCTGAACTTGTAAAAAGCCCTTGATGGAAATTTCAAAACCCCAAGCTCAAAACCCTGGACCATAACTAAACCCTGATTCCGCGGGATCACCCCAAAGAGGGTTTAGGGTTTAGGGTTTAGGGCCCTTAGACCTCTACCGCGCCCCTACATACTAAGCTCCCTCGTATCCCAAGAACCCAGGGCTCCCCGGCCAGTGCCCAAGGAACACCCCCGGCTGGTTCGTGATGTTGAACCTGCATACATTTGTGGCTTAGGGGAGGGCTGCCTTCGACCTCAAGCCTGCTCAGAATCTCGGAAGCCCTGCAGCCATTCACAGCACATGGGCCATCCGCTGCTTCTGAGGGTGGCGCGGAACCGAGTCCACCACTGTGAGGGCGGCACAAAATTAAAAGCCACGAGCATTTCCCTACTTCTGAGGTGAGCGCAGAGCTGATACAGTATCAGAGGGCCTGTGCCTTCAAAATGGGTTTAAGCGTGGCGCAAGGCCCACCGTGCATTGGAGGCCCATGGAGGTCTGGTGGGAGGAGGCCTCCGACGACGGCCGCTCCCAAACCTGCTGTCCTAAAAAGTGAGAGGTTTGTTCAAGCGACCCCGAAAGGAAGCTGGGTGGAGGCCTGGACAAGCAGGGGGGGGGAAAGAAAGACAGCGACACACCATTCTTTGCCGTTGGTGTCTTGGCCAAGAAGGAGCCTTCGCAACACATGCCGCAACCCTCCCTGCGCACCACATTCACACCACTGATTCCGACATGCCGATCTTTGCGGATCTTTGCGGCACCCCCCTGAACCCACACAAAGCCCTCCCTTAACTGGGCCGAGGCTCTCGAGATCACAGACCGCATTGACCCCTCCTCCAAGGCCGACGTTCAAAGAGAAGAGGTCCTCCATCGACCCAGCGACCCCATTGAGGCTTAGTTTTTTTGGGGGGCTCTGTGGGGACGCTTGGGATCGGTTTAGGAAAAGAATCTTGGAGAATTTCAGGCAAGTGGTGTTTCTTTGAGGTTCATGGGTAGCTAGAAGTAGGGCTAAGTAGAATTCATGGTACCTTTGCTTTATGACCCCTTATGACCTTACTTGCAACTCCCCTTAAACCTCCAAAGGGGTCCTTGTAGTTCTTCTCATCTCCCGGGTGCGGGGACTTGACAGAGCGCTGGCAGGAGGCCTCACGACACGCGGGGCACTCTCGCTCGCGATGCTTCGGTTCCCTGGATCTGCTGGAGCTGAGATGAGCCCCGAAACCCTAAACCCTAAACCCTAAACCCTAAACCCTAAACCCTAAACCCTAAACCCTAAACCCTAAACCCTAAACCCTAAACCCTAAACCCTGACCCTAAACCCTAGGTCCCCTATTTTTGTAACCCCCAACGTACTCTCCAAGGCCTTGATAGGCCACCGACGAGGCTGCGTGCTGTCGTGGTACGCGATCTCGTAGTACCTGGAGCGGGCCGAGGCCCAAAAAAACAAAGAACACTAAACCCCAACACCCTCGGCTCAACTCTACTAGAGGTGTAAAAGTTTGGGTTTCGAGGATCAGGTCACACGCCCCAGAACTTGCTGAGGTCGAACTTGCTCCGGACCTCCATTGAGGCAGGCGTGCTGTGACGTCAAGCGGCAGGCGCGCGGTCTGCGATCACGAACCCCTACACCCTACAGCCTCAACCCTACAGCCTAAACCCCAAACCCTAAACCCAAAGCCCTAGACTCTCAGGGTAAGTTACATGGTCCCTTAGTATGGGGCCCTTAGAGGGGGGACCCCTTATAAACCCCTTACATAGGGACCGTACTAGGGGGCCCATGAGACTACCCTAAGATAGACCCCAAACCCGAAACCCTACCGTGCTCGATCTACGGGCGAGAGAAAGCAGGGTGGACTTCGGCACCGGTGCTCTGCGACCAAGGCGCGTACTCAGACTGCACCTGCACACGGCACTTACTTCGAGGCTCATGGTACTAATTAACCAATGATGACTGTACTTATAACCCACTTATAAGCCCCTCCAGTGCCCTAATAATGGTTTTAAGTACAGTCATAAGTACAGCTATAGGGGGTCCTTGAGGGAGGGCGGCATGCAACCCAAGGTGCCCTAATACTCCAAGGCTCCCTAAGCTTACCGAAGGTCCCCCAGGTACCTACCCCCATGACACCCCCTCCCTTAAGCACGGAGCCGAAGCTGCAGTATGGGTAGTCGTCACTACTTTAAGATTTTCCATGCGCTGAAAATTGCATATCTTCTGAGTTGTAAGTTGCTGTATCAGTAGGAGTGCTACGTGAAGACTATGACTGCTATGATTTGTACTCCGAGTATTACTATGACACGAGCTACTAACTCTAACTTGGGGCTTCAGTAGAAGCATTGCACTACCGGTACTATTACAGTCGGTTTCTCATGATCACTGTTACTATGTCTGAATTGCTGGCTTGTACTCTAAACAATGTGTACTATGAAACCCAAACCCTAAAGCCCTGCGACGCCAAACTCCTACACCCGAAACCCCAAGCCCTAAACCCCAAACCAACCCCAAACCCTAAACCCCAAACCCTAAACCCTAAACCCTGTCTTCGTTTTCCCGACGCAACACCTCTTCCCCAAAGCACCTCCAGCTGCGCAGGGCAGCGGGAGGGACAGTCTTCCGGACAGTCGGCCTTCTCGGACTGGGTTTGAAAAATGTTAGGGTTCAGGGTGGAGGGTTTAGAAGAGGGTTTTCAAAACCCTCCTCTGCTGGGTTTTAAAATTTTAGGGTTCAGGGTGGAGGGTTTAGAATGTTAAGGTGAAGGGTGTAGGGTTTTAAAATTTTAGGGTTCAGGGTGGAGAGTTTAGAATTTTAAGGTTAAGGGTGTAGGGTTTTAAAATTTTAGGGTTCAGGGTGGAGGGTTTAGAATTTTATGGTTCAGGGTGTAGGGTTTTGAGCGACCCTACACCCCAAACCCTAAACTCTAAACCCAAAACCCTAAACCCTAACCTAAACCCTAAAACCCTAAAACCCTAAAACCCTAAACCCTAAACCCTAAACCCTAAACCCTAAACCCTAAACCCTAAACCCTAAACCCTAAACCCTAAACCCAAACCCATCAAGTCAGCATCTAAGCGCTTCGGGTTGAAGGGCTTAGGGTTTCGGGTGGTTTGGGGTGTAAGGCAGTTAGGGTTGAGAGTTTCCAGGGAGTTGGGGTTCAAGGGTGTTAGGGTATTTGAGTTAGAGTCTCCGGTGCTTCATGGAGTTAGGGTGTTTTTTAAGGTCTTTTTTGGGGGGTCTCGGGATGAGACGTCGTAGCAACAACGTGAAATCCTCAACCCTGCTCCATACATCCGAAAATCCCGAAACAGGACGGCTGCAGCGGCGAAGGAGTCAGAGACCCGTGTGGACGGATCTCGCTTGTGGTGACTTCTAGGCTTGTGGGCCCTATAGGCTTTCACGGCTTAGGAGCTGCCACAAAAAGTGGCTCCATGAGTTTGTTGGGGTACGAGCAGCCCAAGGATCCTCGTCAGAAGGCCACGACCAAAAAAAAAACAAACCAAGAAGCAAGTGCTCTGGAGACTGAGCCTAGGGCTTAGGGCCCGCCTTCTCCAGGGGCTAGGAGGGGGACCCTTGGGGATGTAGACCCTCTTAAAATAGGTCCCTGTTTAAGAGAGCCAGAAGAGGGTTCAGAAGGGTTCCCTTTGAAGGGTCCCCCTTCTCCTACCTAACATTCTTCCAGAAACAGGCCTCCACGCTTGAAATGAGGCAAAGGGCCGCGGCAAAGGGCAGCCACCTCCGAGGCCGCATCCCCCCAAGATCTCAAGATAGCAGCTGCCCGCGTGAGCAAGCAGCGTTTAGGGTTTAGGGTTTAGGGTTTAGACTTAGAGTTTAGGGTTTAGGGTTTAGGTTTTAGGGCTTAGGGTTTAGGGTTTAGGGTTTAGGAGGTTTAAAGCCCTGACTCCGCAGTGTCTTGAGCAGGAGTACGCTGTCACACTGCGCGCGCCTCGTCTTGGTCCTCATCTGGTCGAAGCCCATGGCCAGGAAAATCACGCGATGGCCCGCTTGCCGGATGGGGGGTGCTGAACACGACTGACTCTCAAAAGTGACTCATGAAGCCCCCTGTTATGTTTGCTGGAGCCCAGGCACATGGGCAAACCTTGTCGATCAAGCTCAAAGAAAAGCCCAGGAGGTGGAGAAGCACTATCAGTTATAAGCAAGGCTCCTTTCGACTCGTTCTTCACACGTGGCATCTTCCAACTTCGGCTCCTTATGCAACAGACCCTGAGCTTTGTACTCGCAGGCAAGCGTCCAAAGCAGAACGTCCAAGAGCAGCCCAAAGACTTTCACCAACTGCTTGCAGTGCTGCAATCATGTCTTTTGCACTGTACATGGCAGCTGGCCAACGACTAGAACCATGGCGACGAACATGCCAGAACCCGAGCACATCCCGACCTAACTTCCAGACCCTGCAGGCCCGAATCTCATCTGTCGGCTCGCGAGAGAAGGGCGCTCCTCTTGCTTCACAAATTTCCGCCTTGTTCCAACTTGTCTGGACGACCACAGAGATACAACGGCAGCTCTCTTTGGCAAGTTGTGGGTGCGCATTGTCCATCACATCGCCTGGCACCGGCGTCGCGAAAGCCCAGGGACCTAGGCTCCTGCCAGAGTGCCTGTGGCAACGCCCTCTGACCCTGAGACAACACGTTCGTCACACCCGGATCTCTGAAGCTTTGACATCACCCCGGCCAAGCACACCCGGCCGAAAGCTCCACTGCTTCTGCGGCGACTCTCAGCTTGCAAAGCCTGAGGACGACCGCCTGCTGTGGGTCCTGGTGTTCCAGCACCGTTCTCCACGCCAGCTGCAAGAATGGCACTGCGAGCTTGACGGTGCAGAAGCCCTGCATGTACCGGATGTTTTGTTCATGGGCACTAAGTGGACTACTCGGAGAGGCGCTGCAACGCAAAGATCGGCACAAGGACCACGGGTCGTCGGACTGCAGACGTGCGACTCACCTGTAGGGGCATCTTCAGTTCTTCACGCAAGCTTCAGACATCCAGCATAGCACGACGTACTGCCACTGGCAGCAAATGGGAAACAAGCATGCGTGTAAGAGTTGCTTCGTCTCACCCAGGAAAGTCACAACTCAGCGCATAGCTGCCCGGACCTTGACAAGGCGCCGGTGCAAAAGGCCAGGAACAGGCCGAGGATCACCTCCCCAAGGGTCGCTCAGGCTGGCGCCAGACCGGTGTCCCGAACCATAATCCCCAAACCGTGTGCTTTGTGTGCCTGCGTAGTCATCCGTCAACCTTCCGCCCCGACATTCAGATGCACTACGGATAATCATCGAAGGTACCATAGGTTCCGAACTCCCTTATTCCCTCCTAAGAACCCTCAAGTTTCAAAACCCGAAAGCCGGCGATGTGTGACACGACGCAGAAGCACTGCACCCCTGCCCTGAACAGATTCTTCCGAAGTGCAGCCGGCACAAAGAGTTCGCTTGCGGTGGCGCTTCACTGTGGGCAACCCTAAATCGAAGGCTCCGGCGTATGATCGGATCTCCAAACAAATCATGATTTAGAGAACCTCCCATATGCTATTGCCCTGCATGTTACACAGGCAACTAAAAGGCAGCTTAAAAGCAGTTTGGGGCTTGCAGTCCAAGTTTACCCCACGTTTGCGCTGGCGACGTGGAACCTGAAAACCCAGAACACCTGGTTTAGGTTCTCCACACCCTCAACCCTCAATGGGCGCAGCGGGCCTGATAGAGAACCCGTCGCGTGAGCTCCACAGCGAGCTCGACATTGGATGGCTCCTGAGACATACCCTAAGTCTCATGGCTTTCTGTTCTGCATGGTTGCCGTTGCTTGGCGGCTGTTTTTCGGAATGAGGGAATTAGGTACCTTCCATACCCTATACTATACTACACTATACTATACTATACTATCCTATACTATCCTATACTATGCTTGTCTGTACGATACTAGACTCTACTAGACTATACTATACTATACTATGCACTATATTGTTTGTACATGTTTAATATATATATATATACACACACATACATTTTTCTATATTCCCGTTGGGATGCTTAAATCCCATTCCCTACTATGAACCAGTAAGCTTACCTAGGCCTCCCGATGCAGAGCCCGAAGACGTGCCATCAATTTTAAACTATGGAAGGTTCATGGGCTTAGGGTTTGGGGTCTAGGGTCTGGGGCTTCGGGTTTATGGGCTTAGGGTTTTGAGACGTAAGGGGAGTCCGCTGTAGGTGGTGAAGTTGCAGAGTGGGAGCGTGAGTCGGTTGTCTACTACATCTGCCCTACTTACACCACCAGCCTTGCAACCTAAACCTTAACCCCTGAACCCTTCCCCTTAGCCTGTGTATTTCTGGTTTCTGGAACCCGGACCGGAAACCTTGAAGCCACACTGCCAGGTTTGGGGTTTCGGGGTTCGGTGTGTAGTTTTGAAATTAGTCTTTGGCCTCTTGAAAGGCAGGGAATTGGGAACGCAATTTTAAACCCGAAATTGTACACCCTGAACCCTAAAGACTTCCCAGTACTGTGTACTACCCGAGCGGCCACGATTACCGCCGTCACTAGCATAGCATGACCCCAGGACCACTTGAAGCTGGTAACTAGTTTATGTCAATCGGCACCCTTTCTGAGTGGGCGTCGTGTCAACTATGGCACTTCCATGTGACCCCCTGCCCGGTGCTCCATCTGCCGTGGCTGCATGATTGCCCAGCCAGGTTCAAGGTGCAAACGTGCCAGTGCCAAGTGACCTTGCGCAGATGCGATATTGAAGAGGCGTTACTCCGTCTGTGTCTGCTCAATCCTTGCCCGCTTGTTGCCCGCATTCTGAGCCGCGCCAGCTTCAAGGAGCAAACGTGCCACTTCCAAGTGGCCTTTCTCAGATGCGACACTAAGAGGTGTTGATCCAGCTGTCGTGGCTATTTCCTTGCCCGCACCAGATTCAATCAGCAAACGTGCCACTTCCAAGTGGCCATTCTGACATGCGACAAAAACAGGTGTTTCTCGATCTGTGTCGGCTGCATCCTTGTCCGCACCAGCTTCAAGGAGCAAACGTGCCACTTCCAAGTGGCCTTGCGCAGATGCGACGTGAAGAGGCGTTATCCCATTTGTGTCTGCCGCATCCTTGCCCGCACCAGCTTCAAGGAGCAAACGTGCCACTTCCAAGTGGCCATTTTCGGATGCGACAAGAAAAGGTGTTGCTCCATCTGTCATGGCTATATCCTTGCCTAACCCAGCTTCGAGGAGCGTACGTGCTATTTCCAAGTGGCCTTTCTGACATGCGAGGTGAAGAGGTGTTGCTCCATCTGTCATGGCCATATCCTTGCCTGCGCCAGCATCAAGGAGAAAACGTGCCACTTCCAAGTGGCCATTCTGACATGCGAGGTGAAGAGATGTTGCTCCCGTTCTCTTGGCTACATCCTTGCCCGCACCAGCTTCAAGGAGCAAACGTGCCACTTCCAAGTGGCCATTTTCGGATGCGACAAGAAAAGGTGTTGCTCCATCTGTCATGGCTGTATCCTTGCCTACCCCAGCTTCGAGGAGCGTACGTGCTATTTCCAAGTGGCCTTTCTGACATGCGAGGTGAAAAGGTGTTGCTCCATCTGTCATGGCCATATCCTTGCCTGCGCCAGCATCAAGGAGAAAACGTGCCACTTCCAAGTGGCCATTCTGACATGCGAGGTGAAGAGGTGTTGCTCCCGTTCTCTTGGCTACATCCTTGCCCGCACCAGCTTCAAGGAGCAAACGTGCCACTTCCAAGTGGCCATTTTCGGATGCGACACCAAGGGGTGTTGCTCCAGTTTGCGTGGCCAAATCTTTGCGTGTGCCAGCTTCAAGGAGCAAACGTGCCACTTCCAAGTGGCCATTCTGAGATGCAACAAGAAGGGGTGTTGCTCCCTTTGTCGTGGCGATATCCTTGCCTGCGCCAGCTTCCAACAGCAAACGTGCCACTTCCAAGTGGCCATTCTGACATGCGAGGTGAAGAGGTGTTGCTCCCGTTCTCTTGGCTACATCCTTGCCTGCGCCAGCTTCAAGGAGCAAACGTGCCACTTCCAAGTGGCCTTTCTCAGATGCGACACTAAGAGGTGTTGATCCAGCTGTCGTGGCTATTTCCTTGCCCGCGCCAGCTTCCAGGAGCAAACGTACGATTTCCAAGTGGCCTTTCCGAGATGCGACAAAAAGAGGTGTTGTTCCATCTTGCCGGGCAATATCCTTGCCTGCGCCAGCTTCAAGGAGCAAACGTACCACTTCCAAATGGCCCTGATGGGACGCGCATAAAAGAGGTGTTCCACCCAAGTCCGAACCCAGGTGGTCCTTGTCTGCACCGGCCTGAAGCAGCTGCAAAGCAGCAACTTCGTTGCCGGTCCGGGCTGCAACGTGCAAAGCCGCGATGCCGCGCGAGCCTATGAGGTCCGGGTCTTGGGGATGTTGCAAGATGTCTTCGATTTGACGAGTGTCATTGGCTCCTACTGCTTCGTGCAACATGTCTACGTGATCGGCAGAAGTCTCTGCAAAGCCCAACAACACCAGCTGCAACCGGCAGGGTGCTTCTAGAATGGCTTCGTCAGGCAGTATCTGCCCATTTTCTTGCAGGAGTCTCTGTCGAAAACGCGAATGTCCGCAGAACTTGTGGAGATGGAGCTTCAGATCGCGCACGTGGCACACGGATGCGTTCTCAGTTTGAGTTGAGCACGGCACATCCTTCAGCTCCATGCGAGCCACCTCGCTACCAGTAGTCATCAATTCGATGCACAACATTGCTTCGGTGAGGAAAAAATCTTAGCCAAATCTTCGAGCTCACGTGTAAATTCTACTCGGTGTGCAGGGCTATGCCCCTAAGATTGAGGAGCTGCAAGGGACCCCACGACATGGGAGTTCGGCAGCAGATCTTGAGCAGGAGCCGTCTGGAAGCTGCAGGAGTAGTAGCGGCTCTAGCAGTAGCAATATCACGACAAGCAGAAGGATGGATACCAGAAGTACTAGCAGTAGTAGCATTTGCAAGAAGAAGAAGAAGTAGTAGTAGTAGTAGTAGTAGTAGTCGTCGTCGTCGTCGTAGAAGTCGTAGTAGTCCTCGCAATAGTCGTAGTAGTAGTAGTAGTAGTAGTACTAGTAGTAGTAGTAGTACTAGTACTAGTACTAGTACTAGTACTAGTACTAGTACTAGTACTAGTACTAGTACTAGTACTAGTACTAGTACTAGTAGTACTAGTAGTACTAGTAGTACTAGTAGTACTAGTAGTACTAGTAGTACTAGTAGTACTAGTAGTACTAGTAGTTCTCGTAGTACTAGTAGTACTAGTAGTACTAGTAGTACTAGTACTAGTACTAGTACTAGTAGTAATAGTAGTAGTAGTAGTAGTAGTAGTACTAGTACTAGTACTGTACTAGTACTAGTACTATTGGAAGTAGTAGTAGTAGTAGTAGTAGTAGTAGCAGTAGTAGTAGTAGCAGCAGGGGTGTGTGGGGGTGCGTAGGGGTGCGTAAGGGCAATAAGGCTTCCACAAAGGAAAAAGGGTATACGTGGGGGAGCTCCCCACCTGAAATACGCCTATAAGCCTCGACCTGCTGTTTGAGCATCCTGAAGCCGAGAACCCTATGCCGTAAAGGTTCTATTGATTCTATCGAGTGCAAAACAAGACTCACTGTCAAAATGGAAACGATCCTGATGGAGCTCCGATGTAATGAGTAGAGGCCATTCGGGCTCTAGGCTTTGGGAATCTAGGGCGACAGGGACCTGGGGGATACACGGAGACGCCAGACTTCACAAGCCTGCATTCCTGGAGATGCACTGTAGATCCTTTTAAGGAGTTTCGGCGGCTTTGGGGGCCTACAACCCTAAAGCCGAAATCCTAAACCCTGAACCCTAAACCCTAAACCCTAAACCCTAAACCCTAAACCCTAAACCTAAACCCGCACCTCGTCAGCCTCGGCATCGGCGCTCGAGCGCAGCGAGCGGGACCAGCGCCTGCTGCCTCCACTCTTCGCGTCTTGGGGGCGTGTTACCGAGAAACTCCAAAAACCCCTTCATTAAGGAAAGATACCGTAAATTCTAATAGGAGCCCTACTATGATTTAAGGAATATACCCTAAATTATAAGAGGAGCCCTAATATGATTTAAGGTCTATTCCTTAATTAAGGAAGATACCTTAAATCATATTCGGGTTCCTAGTATGATTTAAGGTAAATTCCTTACCCCTTAATTAAGGAAATAGACCTTAAATTATAAGAGGAACCCTAATCTGATTTAAGGTGTATTCCTTACTTAAGGGGTTTTGGAGTCTCTTTGGGGTAGGGTTTGGGGTAGACGGTATGGGGGGTTTAGGGTTTTTTCGGGGGGGGTGTGCTAGGGTTTGGGGTGTGGGCTCACATTCCATGAGCGGGCGTCATCGCCATGGTCACAAAAAAAAGGTTTCTCCACAAGCGCTAAACCCTAAACCCTAAACCCTAAACCCTAAACCCTAAACCCTAAACCAGCTTTCCTTCAGGGCTTTCAGGGCTCGGCTCGGATCGTGTGGCCTTTGCCATCAAGCAGACACTCGAGCTCGAGCTCTGCAACCTCAGGCACTGCAAAAAGGGCCAAAAGGGCTCCGAATGGGCCAAAGACCTGGAACCCCTTTAATGGAGTGTATAGGGCACCTTTAAGGGAGTTCGTTTAAGGGAGTATATAGGGCCCTTTTAAGGGAGTTCCCTCATTATACGAAGAACCAGAGTCTTCTTGTACTCAAAACAAGCGACTGGGGTCCAGCCCACCGGACGGAAGCCCGCAGACTCATACAGCTGCGCCGCAGGCACGTTGTCCTGCACGCGGTCGTTAGGTCCGACTAGGTACGAGCCAACACATGGGGGCAGCGCACAGGAGGGGGAAAGATCATGTCTGGATGGGGGGTTTAGGGGGGGTTAGGGGGGGTTTAGGGGGGTTTGGGGGGCTTTAAAGGGATTTAGGGGGCCTTAGGGGGGCCTCAGGGGGGCCTTAGGGGGTTTAGGTGGTTTAGAGGCAGGCGACGCAGGAAAAAACCGTCCACGGAATTCAAACCCAGGTCCTGGCGAGCATCCAAGATGATGGCCTGCGCTCGGGCGCCGAGCCCCCAATCTCCGTTACCGCCCGCAAGTTCGCATTTCTAGGTACTTTATTGGGGTCCTCTCTATAAGGGGATCCCCATACGCCACAGGCCTTGCAATATGAACATGTCGAGTTTGAACACCCACACGAAGCTGCCCAGACCCCTAGGAGGATCCAAAAAGTAGAACCCAAAAAGGAGTACCCTGTACTACTATTGCCTGATGTGAATCTACTTTGTGGATCCTCCACGGGATCTGGGTGCCGGACGAAAATCGACTCTAGGATGCCGCCAGTTTGGGATCAACTTTTGGTCAAGGGTTTAGGGTTTAGGGTTTAGGGTTTAGGGTTTAGGGTTTAGGGTTTAGGGTTTAGGGTTTAGGGCGTCAAATCCCTGCACTGTGAGCAACGCATCGTCTGGAACCTCTCCACACCCGAAGGTCTTTTTTCGAGGGTTTTAGGGTTTATGGCTTAGGCTTTAGGGTTTGGGGCTTAGGGCTTAGGGATTTCTAGGGTCTCGGGCTTCGGCTCGTCTCATCCCACGACACCTCGCAGCCCCAGCGGCGAGCAGCCTTCTCCGCAGACCTCAACATGGAGAGCTCAAGTAGACAAAAAACACAACAAAATAATATAAGAGGGCGTAGTGGAATATGGTTTACAAGGAAAAATAGTAGAAAATGGTAGAATACAATAGATGCTAACAGTCGATGCTACAGGACGCAGTGACGGCCAGGAGCGCTTCAATTCTTGGGAGTCTGGGGGCTCTTGTGGCGTTGCGCGCTGAGCCAAATGGCTCATCTTTCGACCATTCTCGGGAGCCCAGAACTTCTTTTTGCCTTAACCCTGAACCCTAAACCCTGAACCCTAAACCCTAAACCCGAAACCCATCTTCGAAGAACCCTCTCTGCTGCCTGCACGTCCTCCTTCACTTCTAATTACACTGGGGAAAATTTGGAATTGGGAGTTGGGAGCTGCCCCCACCACCCAAACCTTCTAGGGCTTCGGCTTTGGGGCTACTAACAGTCCGCAATAGGGCTTATAATAGCTGTAAACCCTAAAGCCTAAACCCTCAACCCTAGGAATGCCTTTTTCTAGAGGGGAGCCTGAGAAGCCGCCGCGCGTGGCCTTGCCGCCGCCAGCGCGGGGCCACCACCACAGAGCTCCTGCTTAGGATTTCCTGCCGGTTTTTAGGGTTTAGGGTTTAGGGTTTAGGGTTTAGGGTTTAGGGTTTAGGGTTTAGGGTTTCGCGGCTCTCTTGCCCTGGCGGCCTGGGTGACACACCGACACAAACATCCTATAGTGCAACAGTTTGGGCTTACAGTAGGGTTCAGGGCTCGGGGCTCAGGGCTCACGATGCTCACTGCATCTCGGGACACGCGAAAAGACTCCCAATATTGTGGGTAACCCGGGTTCTAAACCCCTCCACCACTGAAAGCCCCAAAACCCAAAACCCTAAACCCAAAACCCAGAACCCAAAACCCTAAACCCTAAACCCTAAACCCTAAACCCTAAACCCTACATGAAGCTGTAAATCAGGGCCAGGGCGCAGGTAGGCCACCGAGGTCTCCCTCAGCCGCAGCTCACACGCGGCCACCAGCGCCTCGCCCTCGGGTGATTCGACCTGCCCCCCCCCAGATGTCGGGGAGGATCGGAAAAGTAGATACCCTTAAGGGTTTAGGGTTTAGGGTTTAGGGCTTAGGGTTTAGGGTTTAGGGTTTAGGGTTTAGGGATTAGGGATTAGGGTTTAGGGATTAGGGTTTAGGGTTCCTAAGCATGACCCAGTAGTACTAAAGGGTACTATTGGGGGGGGGGGGGGGGGTGGGCGCTCTGCTTTTTGGATCCTCCCAGGGGTCTGGGTTTTTGCGGGTGTAGGCTTTAGGGTTTGGGTTTAGTGTTTAGGGTTTGTGGTTTTTGGGTTTTGGGGTTTACGGTCTTAGGGGTTTAGGCAACTGAGGGGTTTAAGGCTTTCAGGGTTTAGGGGTTTTGGGTTTAGGGTTTAGGGGTTTAGGGTTTAGGGTTTAGGAGTTTGGGGCAAGGCGAGACAAAGGCCCCCTCTCCCCCATCAACATGCAGCCAAGGCACGACCAGAACTTTCTGGGTCATCGGCGGCTTCTCCCGCAAACGCTCCTACTTGGGGGTTCATGGTACGAATTAACCAAGTATATCTGCACTTATAACCCACTCAAAAAAGCCCCTTAAGCGCCCCAATATGGTTAAAAGTATAGTTATAAGTACAGTTATATTTGATAAGTGTCATGAACCGACAAGTAGTCTCACAAGCTTAGGGGTGATTTAGGGGTTGTTTAAGGGCTACTTAGGTATATAGGGACCTTCTAAGGTATACAATAGGGGTTTATATAGGGGAATCTCACAACCCGGGTTTTTTGTGGGTTTGGGGTTGGGGTCTTGGGGTTTTGGGGTTTTGGAGTTTTGGGGTCTTGGGGTTTGGAGGTCTTGGGGTCTTGGGGTTTTGGCTGGGGGTTTTGGGGTCTTGGGCTTTGGATGAAGGTTGAGTCGGTTACAAGTGTCGGGAGCGGGCCGAGGGTGTGTTGGGAACAGGGGCGGCGCGTGTTGGGAACTGGGCAGGCGTGAGTCAGGAACGCAGGGGGGGTGAGTCGGGAACACGGCCCATGTGTACAGCACGCCGGGGGTTGAGTTGGGAAAGGCTGCCCCCCCAGAATTGGGTTTCGGAGTGATGACCCTACTCTGCAGGTTTGTTTGGAAGGGGAGACTTTACGAGGCGAACACATCCGACGTGTCATGAACCCGCACACCAACACGCCGAATTGGTGTGCGGGTTCATGACACGTCGGACGCGTTCCCCTCGTAACGTCTGCCCTTTGGAAGCTGAAAGGAAGACGGTAGACCCAAGTCGTCGAAAGAGGCCTTAAAACAAACCTGCAGAGTAGGGTCATCACTCCGAAAACCAATTCTGGGGGCAGCCGTTCCCAACTCAACCGGGGCGTGCTGTACACATGAGCCCTGTTCCCGACTCACCCCCCCTGCGTTCCCGACTCACGACTGCCCTGTTCCCAACACGCACCCCCCCTGTTCTCAACACGCGTGTGCCTAACACACCCCAGTTGCAACCAACACGACTAACATTCCTTGGGCTTTTGGGGTCTTGGGGGTTTTGGGGTCTTGGGCTTTTAGGGTCTTGGGGTTTTGTGTTCTTGGGGTTTTGGGGCTAGAGGGCCAACTACCCCTCAGTTAAGGAAGAACTATACCTGATTTCAGGATTCCTTTTCTAGTGTATGTTCCTCAACGAAGCTGCAAATTAAGGGACACTTGGCCCCTAGAAACAAGTTCCCTCCAGCTCTTCAACATGCGGAAATGTCTTACACCACTACTTGGAGGTTCATGAAGAACTATAAGTAGGGTTACAATTATGGTAACTATACCTATTCCTCTACTTAGGGTACCTATACATTTACATATAGCTACCCATGAACCTCCAAGTACGAAGGCAAGGACCCGACAATCAGCCTCTGACAAGGTCAAATTCGGAACCCTGAAGCGAAGTGCTCATGATGCAGCGCATGGATCCGCCCGGCCCTGGAAGAATGCCGCAACAATGGCCCGCTGCCTCCAATCTCACACTCTTCTCTAGGATTTAAGGTTTGGGGCTTAGGGCTCCCCGCCAGGAGCCAGAGAACTATGTAGCCATGTACGAAGCGGGCAGCTTCCCAAGCCGCTGCCCAAGCCGGCTTCTAAGCCGAGCGACACCAGCGACACCTCCATGACCGCTGCCAGAACCGCTCGCTGAGCGCGCCTGAGCGACCTGCACAGCCCTTCACCGTGATGTTCAGCAAGGAAGGGTGTCAGCCAACTCAAGCTCCACTTCCAAACAGAGAGAAAATGATCAAAGCTCTGGGGGGCCGCGTAGTGGAAGATGTGGAAGTGGCGGATGCCCGCGATGTTGGTACCTGGCTCGCAGGCTTTGGCGCCAGGGTTTTGGTGGCGATCTGTTAGCTCTCTTCTTGGAAACATTCCAGCCATGAGGCCCAAGACACAACAAAGCCGGGCACTCTCCTGGCTCTTGGCCCTAAGCCTCAAACCCTGAACCCTGAACCGAACACATTCCCTTCAGCCCCCGAACATCTGGGGCCTCCACAAAGGCATCGGCACAGAGCCCAGCCACACGCCGGAACTCATCGCTTCGCGCCTTTAAGGAGTGGAGTTTTCTTCGGCGTTTTTGCTCTGAGGGGAGGGGGGGGGGGAGGGCTCTCATGGGAGCTTGCGCTTAGGAAAGCTTGGGCTTGGGAGCATTTGGGGGCTTCTTTGGCTAAATCTTCGCGTTCTTACAACCCACTTGTAACCTTACTTATAACCTTACTTCTAGCTACCCATGAACCTCCAAGTATGTCCAGCTTCAACCAGCATGTTCGCCCTGGCCACATGCCCCGGCCTCCCGCACCCATTCTCTGGAAGGTACTTCGGGCCTGCCGGGCGGAATTCGATGGCTTGCACAGGTTGCCTAAAAAAGCACTCACAGAATCTCGCAGAGCTCCTGAAACTCGTTTTACAGCCCCCGCGCCTGGGCATGCAGGTTCGGCAGCACAGGGAATGGGAGGCGCGAGCTGACGGGAAGACAGTCATCCTTAGACGGCTTCCTGCTAAACTTGAGTTAGGCCGACACAACCCGGAAACCTCGAAAGCTCTTTATCCACATATTCTGGTTCAAGGTGAAGTCCCTGTGAACCCCAAACCCGAAACCCAGTTTCGCGGGATCAGCCCCCCACTCTTCCGAGCCGCGAATCGAGGGCAGTTCGCGCCACACCCTAAAACTCTTTCAACCCGGATGTCTAAACCCTCACCGTTCATCACACTTCTGGACAGCAGAGATTCTCTACGGACCCAAAATCGAACCCTTGCAGGTCTAGGCTGGCTGGTTCTTGGTAGGGAATGAGAGAATGAGGTACCCAATCCCGTAAAGGGTATATACAGGGCCCTCCTTCCCTCATTCCCTACTAAGAACCAGGTAGGGTTGAGGACGTGTTTTGGAATGCCTCAGAACCCTAAACCCGAACGCACCAAAACACGCCTTCCTGCTGCGAAGCAAGCCCCCAGCACCAATACAGGAATGACCGGCAGTTCGGGCTAGGGAAAAAGGATGTCGATGCTTGGGAAAGGAATAAACTCAAAACCTTTCCGGGCATAGCAACAGCAGCACCGTAGACCTACTTGCAACTGCCACCCCACCTTTTCTGCTGCGCCCATATGAAGCAGAACATCGATGCTCAAGTCAGCTGGCGCGCACGTGTTTCAACACGTTCTTGGCTGCCTCAACCTGCGCTCGTGGCAAGATACACGCGCACGCCCTGACGGCAGCAGAAGGCCGGCATGGAGCGTCGAAGCCGTCGCAGCGTGGGACCATTGCGATCCCCGGCTTCTGCAAGAACCTGCATACACCGGGCATGTCGGCAAGTACTGAGTCGTGGCCGCCAGCTGCAGCAACGACAGCCGTGGGACGACCTACGAGCATCGCTCAGCTGCAGTTCCACTAAGGGACTGCCTTGCAGTTCGGCATGTAGCACCACCGCCTCCGAAACTCCTTGGTTTTGCCGCAGGTCGTAGCCTGAGCTTCAATGGCCATGGCCAGGCCAAGCGCGCCTGCAGAAGGTGAGGCGGCGCATCTATGCACGCAAAGTTATTTCAAAGGCGCGCGACAGCCCCAGACGCACATCCAAAAAGATGCACACAGCCTGATTCGGCCGCTTCTGTTGGCACTGCCCCGGTCTTCTCAGCCAAGCACCTGCATCCAGGCGTGTTAAAAACATGTTACACACGTTCTCTTCGTCGTCCGGCCGGCACACCCAGCACAATCGCTGGGGAGCAGTCTGGAATTGAGTCTGAGCACGGCCGTAGCAGTCGTGGACTACACTTCGGCACCATGTGCCATTCCTGCGAGACCGATCTGGAGATGCCCCAGATGCGCCAGATGCGCCAGACGCGCAAGCCTGCTTGGGCGTCCGAGCTGGCACGGACAAACGAAGATTGCAGTCAACTCACGGGCTCGAGCGGCTTCGTCTTTCGGAACAAGCTGCTGGGTGCTCCCAGCTAGAAGGCTGGAGAAGAGGGGAATCTGCGTCTGGCCCAGCTTTGAAGCCTTGGGAGGCCTGAGAGGTCACGTCGGACCAAAGGAGGCCCTTGAGGCTCTGGAGGCTCTGGAGGCTCTGGAGGCTCTGGAGGCTCTGGAGAACTTGTACCAGAAAAAGACCCTCAGCCGCCTCACCCTACAGGTCGGACCATAAAGCCTCAGAGGCTTTATTCTGAGGCTCCTCAGAGGCGCGCGGAGTGCTGCAGCGCACAAGCTCGCAGCGCTCCTGGCGCGGGGAGATGCGCCGAGCATCTCTTCAACACCCCCACTCTCAAACTCTCAAACCTCTCCCGGTGCCGCTTTTACCTTCGGACGCTTCTCAAGGCGGCCGGAGGCCCCGCGGTACGGCAACCCGAGCTCGCGACTTCCTCAAGATTTGCTTCGGAGCTTCGAGGGTAAGACGTCCGCAGGTCTTAGAAAGACTTAGAGAGACCAGCTTTCGCATGCTTCGCCCGCAACGCTGTGGACACCGTCGATTCGGATCCTTGAAGGCGACGCGCGCAAGTAATCACATGTGGCCCCCGAGTACTTCCGAGTGGTCACTACGCGACTGCTCAGTCTCCTGAGTTTGGATCTGCCCCACGCCTGTGCGACTAAAGGCGCCTGCGGAACAGGCGCCAGCTCCACGGAGTCCGCGAAGCGCCCGCAAGACAGCAGCAAGCACGGCTCCGGGAGCTCGCCGCCCCATGCGCTCCACTGGCACACGCATCCGATCGCTGCTAATGGAGCTCTTTGCCCGCGTGCCCTGGTCTCGTGCCTTTTCTTGCCCCACACGAGGCACGGCCCGGCCACGCTCCTCCATAACGCATGCTTTCTGACGAGCCCCTTTTTCCGAACGCAACATTTTGCCAAGCTCTTGTGACCTTCCCCCTCCCATAAAGGCACGCCTGCACACCTCTTGCCTAAGCTACACCCTTCGGGGAGGCCCCGACGACTAAGCGGCTTTTGGCTCGGAAGTGAGGTTTGCCCTTGTCAGGTTGCACAGTAGCAGGGGCCCCAAAAGGAAGCGGCTGCCGCGCTTCTCATCTCGTGCGGGATGCAGATGCCCTCCTCCTGACATACGCTCGTCGGCTCAGCTTCTCCCGTTCCAGGGCATACGCATCAAAGGTCGGACGTCGCTGGCACCGCAGCACTCCAAGTGGGATTCTGCGGCAGCGAGTGCAGCGCAAAGCCATAGCTGCCTTGATCCTGTCGGGGAGGAGGGGAAGGGGAAGGGGGAGGGGAGGGGGAGGGGCGGACTGGAGCATGTAACCCCTAAAAGCTTTGAGTAAAACTATGGTCCTGTCCCTGGTCCTATCGACGCGATGCCTTGGTCCTGGGCCTGTGCTTCCTTGCAAAAGCCAGATACCTGCCGTTCGCATGACAATGCATTGCACGTGACTTACCCTGGCACAGGGCTTCGAACAGCATGGCCTTGCAGGAACCACGGCCACACGCCGAAAACACATCAATCACGTTATACCGTTTTGCAGCCCTGTTGAATTTAGGTGCTGGTGAGGGCATGTTTTGGGGAAGAGCAAGCACTTGGCAAGGTCCAGACTTGGCTCGAAGCTTGCCAATCCTTCATAAGCATGCGTTTGCGCAGGCCCGGTTCTCGAGTAAGCTCTCGTGAGAAATCAGGCCAGGCTGGGTCAGAGACCTTCGTTTTGTCAATCGAACGGCAGATCAGTCGTCAAGCAAGCTCTCGTCACCAGCTAGAGCTGCTCAAAACAGCCCGTAAGACATAAGAGGCCCGAAGTTGGCTATCGCCAACGGCGCAAATGACTCGAAAGGGGAGCGTAAGGGACCCCCGCAAGCGGCTGGCAAGTTGCTCGAAGGCGAAAGAAAGGGCTGTAAGGTGCCCGTAAGTAGCTAAGTTGCTTGTAAGTTGCCAAGGGTCTACGTAGGAGGCCCGTGTTGAGGGCCGTGGGAGGCCTGCGCACGAGACCTGTGCAGAATTGCCTGCAAAGCTGAGCATCTCGTTCGTCGAGGCAATGGCCTAAACCCCACGGCATCTGCCCAAAATCAACATCAAAACTTCGCAGCATGGCACAAAGCACGGCCTTGCAAGAACCATGGCCCCACGCGGAACACACATCACATGGTCTCAACCCTGTTGAGCTCCTTGCGTGCAAGTGCAAATGATTTGCGTGGGTTCGGGAGTAGCTCGTTCGTGGCTCGTGAAGTACTGGTGTGAGTCAAAGCTAGGCTGAAGCTTGGCAATCCTTCGTAAGCATGTTTTCGCGACAGGTCTCGTGAGAATTCAGGCCAAGCATCAAGCACGTTTTCGTCAGTCGGCCCGTAAGTATCTGAATGGCTCAAGTGGCACGCAGGGCCGTAAGCGGCCCGTAAGTGGCCTGTTAGTGACTCGAAGGCCCATGGGAGGCCCGTAAGAAGCCTACAAGTGGTTCGTACGTAGCTTTCAAATTGCTCAAAGGCCCGTATTTGGCCTGGGGGACTGCAAGTGGCTCGTAAGTGGTTTGTAAGTGTCTTGTAAGTTGCCATGGGCCGGCTTGCGTGCAGAGCTGAGCATCTCGTTGAGGCAATAGCCTACACCCCACAGCATCTGCCAAAGATCAGCATCAGAACTTAGAAGTATAACGCCGTCTCACCCTGCAGGCAACCTGCCCTTACGAAGCCTCTTCCTGAAAAACACCTAAGTTCATCTACCCTGCTCGCCCAGGACCTCATCCTGCAGGATAGGGGTACGTTATTTACGCTATTTACCAGAACCTGAATGATGCTTGGAATTGCGGGAAAATAGCAAGCGCAGCTGAACTAAGGAAAATACCCTCGTGGCACCCACGATGCAACAATGAGTCCATGTCCGGTGTGTTCTGTTGCTGTCGTTGCGGCAGATGCTCCAGTTTGAACAACATGGTAGCCATGGAGATACCGCAAGGGCACGAGCAGTCAGGTAAACGATTAACAACAGCTGTTGGCACCTGCCAGACAGCCATCCGAAGCTAGGCAGTAAGCCTCAATCGTTGTGGCAGAGACTCCAGTTTGCATGCCATGGAAATACCTGGAGATTCTGCAAGGGCATGCAAGCCCAAGGTGTTTGCTTCCCCCCCCTCCTCGGCGGGATCCTCTCACTCATACCGCAGGTCTGACACAGCCCCCTGCTGGCCAGCAATGCCCACATCATCAGGAAGGCTGCGCAGTTGTAGCTGCGGCTGGTGCTGTCTTCATTCAGCTTTCGCGCCGCCCTCAGAAGTAGGGGAGCGTGTCCTATCCTGCAGGTCATAACCCAGACGAACTGCAGCCTCCTAGACACAGACCCTGCATGGGCCGCAGTCTCGGCACCCCCTGCAGAGATAAGGATGCCCTCGGGCAAGGACACCAAAAAGCCCAAGAGGGGTATCGCGGTTGCAGAGACTCCTGTTGCATAGCATGGAATGCCACGGAGATACTGCCAGGGCGTGCAAGCCCTGGGTGTTCTCCTCCCTCTTTTGCAGCCTTCCCGTCAGCGATGCCCATATCATCAGGAAGTCTGACAAACACTGTGAACACCAGTCGT